ATTCTCTCCACATCCAGGACATATGGAGTACACAGAGGTGCCACCTCAGCTGCATTCAGGACCCACCAGGTGTGCAGCTGTACACAGAGACTGGTAGACTGACAAAGGGCGGGGTCAGCCTTGCGGTTTCCACCTTAACCAGTTCATCCCAGGTACATGTGTCTGTCTCATAGCTTGTGATTAAGTAGTTTGTGTATTATCATTTCATGCAAACATGAAATTCATTTTTGATCCAAAACCTTTTTTGTCAAGCCAGTGCCAGGTATTTCCAAGCTCCCGGCAACACCTGCCAGACAGAGCAGGACAAATAGCGAGTTGTCTTCCCTCCCAGATACCAGGAGAGGCAGCGACGGGGAAGAACACCTGTCCTGGGAAGGAGAGTCTCCAGAGGTGATTCACTTCAAATATCAGTTTCCTCTAATGAATATCAGATCTATATTAACACACACTGCTCTCTGATTATCTTTCAGCTGTCCTCTTGGACTGAACTCAGGCCCTGCAAACTGGGCCAGTGTTAGCTGCCTCGTGGAGGCCATATGCAACCAGCTCTGCCGTCTTCACCCGGTGGCCACGTCATTCAGAGCGACCTTGAGGACTTGGTGGTCATTTGTTCTCGAGGACTATGTGGCCATTAGAGAGACAGTGCTATCGCCTCTTGAGGAATAAAGTGGTGTTACAAGATGAGACGGACTGTTCAGGACATCCAGCACCAGTTACACAGTGGACCTTTTAAGGCAATCTGCAGCCACTTATTTCTGCCCCATTAACCCCATTACCATTCTGTTCAAAGGAATGCATTTTATTAAGCGTTGCTGTGTATTGGGTAAACTTTAAATAAAGGGCTGATTTGTTTTAGCATTTGTAAGTCTCCTTGATTTTTAATTTGAATTCATATGTATGTATTAGGTGAACCTGGATGAAACTAATGCAGTATAATGGAACAGGCCTTTCAGTAAATCCTCCTTCATGAGAATTATAATGTTCAGTATTTGCTGAATCTGTTTGAGAAGTGTTGGTTTATTTTAATGGTCAGTGTGGAGGCTGTAATTGTGGTAATGTTTAAGTGTTCCTAATGTTTTGTCAAATCTAATTCCTATAAATGGATGGACAAAATATTAGGAACACCTCTCAGTATAGGGTTAGTTTATATACAGTGGTGTCTAAACATCTGAGACCACTTTCCCATGTAGCCTCACATATTGCTCCATAGTAGCTGTAGTATCGCTCAATTTCATTTACAAAGGAGGAATTTGATTTATTATAATTTATTTATTGCATTCGATTTATTGTTCACTAGACTTCTTTAAAAGTTTTCATTTTGTATTTTCTGTTTTTAGTTTGTCATATCTTTTCTATCAATTAGTTGGTCTCATATACACACCATGTGTTACTGTTTTAAATTGTTGAATGTAAACTTCATCCCAGGTGGCTAAAATCCCAAGACTAGGCTTTTCTCACAGCAGACATTTTGACTTGGAGTAGTAGGACTAAAACAGGTGTTATTAATAACATTAATGATGGCTCTAGTGTGACAGTGATCCAAATTTAGCCATAATTAATTTTACCATTAAGACCTCTGCTTTTCCTACTGAGTGTGTGTCAAAAATATCTGCAGTGAAGAAGGCCAATAGACTATTTCAACAGCAGACATTTTGGCAAATACCAGGTGTGACTGATAACATTAAAAACATGATGGGACCAAATCTTCATTTAAAAAGACAAATCAAAATGTCTTCCATGAAAAAGGTCTACACTGAGAACATAACCTCGGTGTACTAACTGGTACAACTCTGTGCTATTCCACATTATTTGGTTGGCATTAAGATGTAATGCATCATCTGACATTATTCTTTTCATTTTTGTTATATCCATTAAAGAAGACAGTGGTATCTCTAACTAAATACAAAGTTGAGGCCTGCATGTCAAACCACAACAAGCCTGGTGACATGTCATAATAAAATGAATGATAGATGAATTCCATTTAGCTGCCTCAGTTTCAGGGTCTTTGTATTGTGCATGCTGGGACACCTCAACAGAACGTAAACATTGCACTTTTCCTCCCACGACAAGTCGACATGTCTGCTGCAAAAAGGGCAGCATTTAAGTTTTAGTATTTTACGGACTAAATTGAGGCTGTAGGGCCACAACTGACTCTGAAACCTTCAGACTGCAATGCAGACACCTCACGTCACTTTAAAAAGAGGCGTACGGGAGCACCACCTTTGCAGAAAATAAACAGGATAGCCTAATATGAACTGCGACGGTATAATCCTGTTTCTGTCTCCAGACTCTGCTCTGCGATGTAATATTGTGTACTTCAGTGAACAGGCAGTTTCCATGGTGCAGTGGGAGACCTGCTTTGTGCCAGTTTGTCTTGTCACAGCTTGATGTCCCTGGCCTGACCTACTAAACCTCATTCATGCACACTTATTGTGCACTGCATTCAAACCAGTCATTTAAGTGAACTAGGCTGTTAGAACATGTATTCCAGCAACGCTATGTGCTGCTTTTAATATAAAATAAAAGGTATTACACCACAGCAGTTTTTCAGCAGTGTTTCCAAGGGGTGCAACTCTTCCTCTCTGTCTTTTTTCCCTACCTCCACCCCCTTCATCTCCCTGCCTCACCCGTCCTCCCTCCTCCTCCTCTCTCTCTCTCTCTCTCTCTCTCTCTCTCTCGTCCCACTACTGCATTGATGCTGTTACCTCCCTCGATGGTGATGTCACCGGCTCAGTGGAGCTCGAGCATCCTTGCCAGAGACGAGGAGACAACAGAGCCATTTTGACCGCTCCGTAGTGTGAAAAAGCGGCCGAGCATCCACCCAAAACAAACAAACGACCGACCCGGACACCTTCCTCCCTTCCTGGGTCCCTCACTGGCAAGGCCGGGCAGAGGGAGGGTCGGTGGGTGCAAGACACCGTCGGCGGTAACCTCAGCCCTTCCCGTTTTCATGGAGAGGAGAGGCTGTTAGCAGGGGCAGTGCCAGACCTGGAGGAGACCGGAGGAGGTGGAAGCTGGATAATAAAACAGACGAGCACGACAAACTCTACACGTCTCTGCGCGGTAGCAAAACGTTAGTGGCACTGCGGAGGTAGGTTTACCTTTTTCTTTTTATTATTATATTTTTCCATTGTCCCGCCGGTAATGCAGTTTTAATGAGACAGTCTTTATTTACTTAGTGTTAAACCTCCTGGGAGGAGATGGGCATAGGGTGCGGCCATTGAAGAGGCTGTCAGTGTCGGAGAGATAGTATATAGAGAGACTGTAATTAACAGAAAAAGCTGCTCTGTAACACAGTGTGTGTGTTATTTTACACTTTACATTTTCAAATTATAATGTCTTTTAATATTGTGTGAGCAGAACGAGCGGAATAAATGCCCTGTCACTGGGCGAAAGGTAGACGTGCAGCCTTACTGGAGGAAATATTGAATCATAAGCTCTGAAAATGACGCAATAACTTAATTTTTCAGAGAGTAATTACACCTATCAATTATCAATTTTAGCCTGAACCACATATAGGCCTTACGCCAGTGTTGACTTGTGGTTTATGGCTTTGCTGTCACGTTTAAAAAATAAAAAAAACACCAGGTAAATATGTATTTTTATGAGCAACAAGGTAAAATTGTATCAACCTGTCGTCAAGCTCAAGTCCACACCAGCATGGTAATTACATTAGCCTTTGTCACCGGGAAAATGGTGGCCGCCCATCTGAGCTGCATCATCAGCTGATTGGTCTGTATTGAGCAGATTATGACCATGGATGTTGACGAAAAAAAAACAAAAAAAAAAAACAGATTTATATTTTCACAACTGTGTTGAAGAAGTATTTTCCACACAAGGTTAATAATATGTGGATGGACAGAAGATAACATCCACGTTAAGCATATGAATTTCATCTTCATCACTGGATTGGATTTTTAATCTTCTGTGTCATTGAGTCTGTTGTATTTTTATTTTTTTATTTTTATCATTGTTTGTCCTCAGTGTGGTTTAGTGCACGGCTGCACCTTTAAAACCAAAACATCTCAACAAATCAATCTGTTTAGGTGCCAGCTGTGGAGCTTGTACCAGAAAGCAGGGTGACACAGCAAATTTACAACACTCAGTGATGATGATGATGAGGATGATGATGATGATAACAGATGTCTGAGTCACTAATCATCAGAACATACTCTGAATATTCATACAAAATCCATTATCCCAAATCATGGGCATATAATTACATTTTTTTCTCTTATTAATATGCTATAAATTATTATAGTTTTTTACTGTAATATTTGCGGTTTGACATGAGACATGCAGTGAAAGCTATATGTATCATATTGCTCGTCGTTAAAGCTTATTGATGAAAACATTAAATGATTGTAATTTGATCATGACGGATGATGAGTCATGGTAGCTCCTGATACACCCACAGTGCTGCCATACACAAAAAATCACACAGTTATTTAATGTTCATATTCATTCTTTTAGGAGACAGAGACGAGTTACGAATTGCTCATGAAACCGAGCTGCTGAATGAAGCCAGAGCCTGGATTTGGGGCTGGTTTCAGTGCCATTGTCAGCCAGGGGAATAACCTGACGTTTAGCTGCTGCTGCACTTCTTTTGTCACTGCTAGCTGTATTATCCATATCCCTTGGCTGCAGCTGACCATGCATGGTCTTTTCATGTTACAGCCACAGCCCTGCCCTCCTCCATTGTTCTGATAACGTCAACTGTGAGGTGTAATATTGGACCTTTTAACAATTTGTAATACAAATGTATCTACAAATATTAGACCTTGATTTTGCAATATAACAAAACATGACATGACATAACAAGATACCGTAACATAACATAACATAACATAACATAACATAACATAACATAACATATCATAACATAACATAACATCATGTCATTTACTATCCGTCATCACTCTCTGCTCCCTTCCACAGACCTGCAGGCCCTACACCTGGGCACTAAAGAAGGCACCCCAGGGTGCTAGGAAGACAGCACCATGGCAGGGGCCTCTGTAAAGGTGGCGGTGCGTGTCCGCCCCTTCAATTCAAGGGAGATTGGAAAAGAAAGCAAATGCATCATTCAGATGTCTGGAAACACCACCAGTGAGTACTCCAACCACAACTTCTCCACTGAAATATGCTGCCCAACTCCTCTATTTGATATAATCCACCTATAGTATGTTTTCTGGTTGCACTTGCATAATATAGTGTATGTTTTATTGTCTTAAATTCAGAATTAAATGTAGATTACAAGAACAAATGGCAGATTCATTCAGTCAGATGTAATCTTGAGCTTGGAGCTTGACTCTTCTCCAACCAGAAGGCACAGGTTCGAGCTTTTCCAGCTGTTCTCTTGCTGACCTTGACCTCCGACCTCCCTGCGCAAGAGGATTATTGAAAAGATAAATTTCTTCTGCGTAGGACCTGGGGTGACTGTGCAAATCTCCGGTAAACAAGAGAGGTCTAATTCAAGACACGTGATATGAGCAGAACATTTATTCGAAATCAGCTTTAATGTCAGAGGAATAGCGATTGAGATTGGAGCTAATTTTATTCTGTCCGTGAGGAAACGTCATATTAATGAACTTGTTTGCAAGACTTTCAACTGTCGGATTACTGCAGCGTCCATGTTAGAGCAACAGAGGAGTTATCCGATTGAAATCATGCTGTAGGTGACAAAACCTCCCTGCAAATTTGACCTGGTGTTTATTCAGGAGAAGGCCTTTTATTTATTTATGTGGCAGATTAAACCAGATTTAAAAATAGCTCCTTATCCAACATTTTATAATTAAGCATTTTCTATTTAACGTTGCCACCAATGCAGAGCAAACAATAAGCACAATAATGGCAGAGGACATTTGGAAGAAACATAATTATTGTGTCATTATAAAGCAATCCGTGGGAAATGACCGAATGCATTTACTATAGATTACTATGGATTCTGCAAAACCTTCTGTATTTGTTTTTGTTGCACAGCTTTAAAGCCTGTATTTCAGAGCACCCCACGTTTCCTGGGTTATGTAGTGCGCAGAGCGAAGACTCTGGTCGAGAGGAGACTGGAAAGATACTCGATACGTAGTCTGCTTAGCAAGGTAAAGCCATTCGTCAATAATGGATGAGGCTTCCTGAAATATTTACCGTTTGGCCTAATTTAGCCATCTCACCCCTCCTTCCTCATGTCATGGCTGACTAGACAACAAGCTGCGTGGCTTTTTTTGGGCTGCCATATTTTTTAACTACGTGATTTGTAGCATTTCGTGATGTTGCGTTCCCCATCAGACTAAATACTTACAATCTTAAAAAATTTTTACGCTGTTCCTTTAAACTGCCCCTCAAGGATTTCACAGTGTGATGTTTTCTAAAAGAGCCCTGCCTTGGCAGAGAGCTTCTTCCTGGGTCTCTGCAGCAGTGGGCAATTAATATTGTTTCAGCGTCGTCTCTTTTAGCAGTGTAAACTTAGATCAGAGGCTCTGTTGTCCACTGGGAATGTGTTTGCTGTGTGGATGTGCTTGGAGACATTGATTTTAATTAATCTGTGAATCTTATTTCTAATCACACAAGGTCTTTTTGATGTCATCCATTTACATAATGATAATCAGCTTGTTGTTTTCTTATTCTTGACTTTATGCTAATTTGTTACAGTTAGACAGAAACTGTTCTTAAAGGTCCCACATTTGAAGTTTTAATATCCATATAAGATATATTTGTGGTATACCAAAAACCGTCTCAATGTACATTTACGCCTCCTCCTCTTGGGCTTCTTCTAGTAACAACAGGTAAGCCAATCGGAAGAGAGGAAGCTCTGAGCCTCTCTTCTGATTGGCTGACTGTTTTCTGAGTGATCGAATAAAAATAAAGCAGATTTCAGGTAAAACACTTAAGAGACACCAAATCCTGCAAGGTTTGGATGGTGGGTCCGGGTGGGCGGGGCTTGGGGCGTGGCTGAGAGCTGTAACTGTTTTGTTGTGACATCAAAAAGTTACAGGAAGTCCTGACGGCTGGTTTTAAGGCTCAGTTTCCAAATACAGGCTGTGTGCATTTCTCTGTGGACTGAGCGCTTTGATACTTTCACAGTATTAATATAGAACCTAAATCTGATCTATAATCACACTACACATGGACATCTACCCTTTATTCAATATTGAACCTTTAAATTGTGTTTGTTTGGAGACCCCCCCTGAGAGAAACCAGTGTACGGTTTTGGAGGACAGACTGTACTGTGGCTCATTCAGCAGTATACAATGTCAGTCAGGCTGTCAAAGCACTGTGGCTTGTGAACAACATGTTCCACAGATTACTTTTATTTTGATTCATGGAGTACAATTAGATCTAATATAATCCAATATAAGCAACACAAACATTATAAGCTTATAATATCCTCCGTCAGACCTGCATTCATTTAAAATCTGGTCTCGGGCTCGATCCCTCACAATTTTCTATTTACTGGCGAATTGGTAAATTGCGGTGAAAGCTTCAGGGAAGAGAAAATAATGAAACTAAGCAGATAGAAATTTGCAGAGGACATTTGAATTCGATAACTAGAGGAAAGCTCTCGTACTAAAGCAGGTCTGATTGACCAGATTTTAGTCAGACCTATGTCACGATTCTGTTTCATCAGTCTCCCTGCTCCTGAAATTCAAGCAGAGTTTATAGCCATGTCAGCAGTACTCGAAAATTTCATGTTGTTCAGATGCTCCGAGCCGCTTCCAGTGAGACTGCAGGTCTTTCAACGGGGCAGAATAACTGAGTCAATGGCTCTGGATGTGAGCTGGAGGATGTGAGCAGACTGATGTCATGAAAAAGCCCATTGGTTGCAGTGTCTGGAGAGGGGGTACAGAGGCAGGGTATAAATGCCCCTTTGTCTTCCTGTAGTCTGGGGCTGAGGAAAGGAAGAAGAAGAAAGAGTTCTCTGGGGTTTTTTGTGCGTGTCTCACTCTCTGCTTTGTGCTCTCTGACACCCATGTGTGGGTCAATAGCCCAGTTCCCACAAAGCAGGAGAATGGCAGTAATCTTGTTGTTTGAGAGATCTACCCTCCCACGCGGACCTTAATTAAGATGCAGAGGACGGACCTGAAGCAGTAATGGGCCTCCCGCAAATACTTGGTGGGAAGATTTCAATTTGTTTAGCAGAAGAAAAGCAGTAATACATCCAAGTTATTTTCACTACTGGACTGATTCAAAATATCTGTGTATGTACTTAACCATTAGAAGTGAATATCTATAATGTGTAATGAAGCTTGTGTTAGGGAGAGTTGAGTGGATTCCTGCTGCTTCTTTACTCATTAGCACAATGTTTGCTGCTCTATCATCATGTGGATTTTGGCATGACTTAGACAGCTACGGTGCCTCTAGCTAAGATTTGCTAAGATGCTTCATAAACTCAGAGCGAAAGCAGCAGACAACATACCACCTAAACCCAGTGCTGCTGCTGCTGCTGCTGCTGCTGCTGCTGTATATAGCATCTATGTGGCTCTCCTCCTCTCCTCTGTCAGTGGGTTCACATCCCCTCTGCCAGACCTGCTGACGCAGCCACATTTCCTCTCCTATTGACTGGGGCAGGTCACCCGTGACAGTCCGACCAGCGTCACTCACTCACAATTATGAAGACCCAGCAGCTATGACAAAGACAAACACAGAATGTGCTGTAATAGGACGCTGAAAATATGATAAAATAACAGCTAAAATTAAACTAGAGGAGATTATCGTTGCTATAATTAGCACAGATGACGTGAAATGTGGGCATGGTGACGAGCAGAGGTGAAGTGCGGCAAAAAAGAAAAGTGGGTGTACTAAAACTGTGGGCCACCTGGTGAACATAAGGCACATGCTATTTTCAATTAGAGATACAGTAAAGTAGATTTTTACAATTCCAATGTAGTAATTATTTTGAATTAAAATTACTGATCTCTGATATCAAGTCTGATATTTAATGTCAAACAATGGTATTCAGAAAATACCCGACATGTGCAGTAGATCTTTCGACTAACCGGGAATTATCCTTCTGTAATAAGTAATAACTAATGAAGTGTAATTATTTCTTTATAACACACAATTATTCGACTTGTCTGTTACAAGAGTAGAATAATTGTATTAAATTAAAAATTTTACAGGAGTGAAAATAATAACAGTAAAATAAATTCAGCGATGACAATAAAAGTAATCAATGTGAAACGTATATTGTTGCTCCATTAACCTATTATGTAATAATAATAATAATGATAATTATATTTTAGTAACATGTTTGTGATATTTAAATTAATATCCTTAGTTTTGAATCACAGGCCAGACAAATGAAAAGACATTTAACATTATCAACACGGGTTTTGGACACTTCAATGTTTTCTGAACTTGTATAAACAAAACAATTAATCAATTAATTGAAAAAATAATTTGCATATTATTCATAGCTGTCTAATTAAGATAATCATTAGGCTTAATGAACATTTAACAGTTCTGTTATTCATTTAAAATCAGATCTGTGGAAGACAATGTAATCACTCATCAATGATCGCTCTCTTCCTAAGATCTGATCAGTATGCTGTAAAAATAATTAGCAGATTTAAACTATAAACCAGCATATGCAAAATAATGCTGATGAAAGTGTGGATGTGGCAGATACGTGCGCACACTCCTTGACCACCTCTGATGATGTGTTATGGGAGCACGCTGCCGGAAGAGAAATGAGGAGCCGTTGTCTTAATTACGTTTGACCTCCATGACTTGACTTCCAGACCCGGCGTCATCTATAAACTCAGCACCTTGAAATTAAAAAAGGTGTTTCCATCGTAAAGAGAGGAGACGGGTTGTAAAGGGGGGGGGGGGCTGTGACGCGCAAGCTGTCAACACTGACAACGTCACCCCGTGCTACTGAGTGCAATTTAAATAGGCCCATGGTCACCCTCATATATTATAGGCTGCCACTTTACAGTAATTACCTTATCTGAGAGCAAGGCGCTTGTCTTGTCTTTCCGGCGCTGGGATATGCGGGTGGGGCTCATCTTAGTATGAATCATAACACAATCAAAGATGACTAAGCAACAAGAGGATGTCGTAAGCGTCGAACTTTCCTACTGAGGTTTTTGCTTCTGGGTAACGAGATGGGCAGTCGGATCGTGATATATATTCTTCATTTTATAGGTTCGCTAAATCAGTCCAGGTCTCATTTTAGATTTTATTTATTTATTGATGGTTTTTCATCTGTGATAGAATTAAAATTTTTATTGAATCGGGTCAGCTTTATTTACCTGGAAACCAATCAGCTCCTCAGCTGTTTTCAGACCTTCATTCATTATCAGACTGTATTAAATGTATATATAGATCCATAGAGGCTGTAATAATGGAAGGGATATGTGTTAATGCTGTACATTAGAAACACTTACTTCCTACAGGATACTGTGGGCACTTCTAGCCTAGTACTTTCCCAGTGTTTCACCTGCTTTAGTTTTGGTGGTCAGTTACAGCAGGTGCCAAGTTTCTGCCAGATAATGTTTTATTCAACCAGATTTTTCCACTTCAGTGTAAAACAGTTGGTTTCCAGAACGTGTGAGCAACAACCCCTGGAACAGGTAACAAGGGTTCAGACAACGCCATCACTGATACATAAATGTGGTTGGAGGAGGGATTGATAACCATTTATTGATTGCTGTCAGACTGATTCTAAGTACATATTTCGGTCTAACTGGCATTTCTGACTATGTCTGATGTCATGGCCCATTACTGAAGAAGACCATTTGTGGCAGGAGACAGAGCACACACACGGGAAATGAGCATTATGGAAAATACTTCTGGCTGATTAATGAAATTGATCCGGTGGCTGTGGTTATTTTAAGTGCAGAATATGGTGTTTTGATAAAGATCGGCGAGAGCACAGTGTGCAAAACCGGAGTGCATCTCTGTTCATATTTGGCCATTTTCCAGAGCACCTGGACACGTCATGCCGAGCAAACAAGGCCTCATCTCTTTGTCATGGTTGGGCCTGAAACCCGAAACCCATGTCAGCCACACTGGCCTATATTTCATAGCTGGAAACACAGTAGCAGCGTAGAGAGGAAATAATCGTGTGTACACTCACTTGAGAGCGTACTTAGCCCTGGGCCTTTTCCTCTGTTATCGACCGCATCTGCATTAGCAGAGAAGATGGTGTCTGGAGCTCTGGGAGCCTGGAGGAAGCGTTTTCATAGCTGGCATCACCACACCACACCAGACATGTTTGTTCTTGGGTGGGCACATGAAATTTTCATTTCTGCATCTGATATTTTATCCATAACTGTTTCTGAAAGCGTGTTTCTACAAAACCCTTTTGCTTGCATGTTTGATTTTTTGAGAATATCATTATTTCGTGTGGCTCAGTTGTTGGATAAAACTCCATAAAAGCCCAGTTATAATTATAAAATAAAGTTAATTAATTATCAAAAAGCCATGTGTTTGCAGCAGTAATGATACTCTAACATTTCCAGATGTGTATACTGTACATACACAGCTTTATTAGCCACAAACAAGCTCTTCTGTATCAGCTACAAGCGGACCAGAAAAAGATGTGTGTCATCATCAGTCAGTCAATCGATGAGTTCCTCGGTTTCGTTTGTAAAGGGTCGCGGAGCAGACATATCTAAAAGCAAGTGAGGTCAGATATGACATCATAATTTAAACTGGAAAGATTTGCTTGAGTCATCACCGGCCGTCCTGGGCATCGAAACCAAATAGACCTGATTGTCTGTGACATCTGAAAACTGAGCCTCACAGGCCTGCTGGTTGTTTCATGCTGTTGAAAGATGAGCTGAGCCTGACAAGCTGAGCCTGACAAGCTGAGCCTGAGCCGTCCTTAAAATGGCCGCTGTACCTGGTAGGTAACAACGTGGCCTTTTCACGTGGCACCACCGTCAGGCCGAATTGTACAACTGGAAGTAAGGACACAAAGTTGTTGTTTTTAATAATTTGATTTCTAGTGTGTAATAAGTGTCTCACAGATTTCACCAGGAGGAATAATAAGAGTCGCTCTCTATCATTTCACTGTCACCTACAAAGTATATTTTCTTAGGGATTTATTTAAATTTTTATTATTTATCCAAATGTCTTTGATGTGAGCAAACAGAGTCAGAACTGTGATCATGTTTAAACAGCGATGACTTTCTATTTTATACCAATAAAACAACAAACTACCAGCAGCTAATATCCCACAAAAAAAAATATATTTCATCCCATGATGCCACTTTCATCTTCCAAAAAATAAAAATAAAAATGCCACAAAGTTCTTGATCCAAAATCACTGCAGTCTTATGTTCCGCTTCATGACGAGGTCTAAATGCTAAAGATGCGACTGAGGCCTTTCGAGCTCTTTTGGCACAACATGGCAGCGGCCGAGCTCAGATCCAGTTTCACGTGGCCGGCTCTCGCCCTCCCACTGACCCGTGTTCCCTGTCCTGTCTTTCAGCCATCGTCAACCCCAAGCAGGCCAAAGACAACAAGAGCTTCAACTTTGATTACTCCTACTGGTCCCACACCACGGTAACTATTTCTGCACCCCTACAGTGCAAACACACACACACACACACACACACACACACAAACACTGTGCATCGCTTTGTGTTGCGTGTGTGTCGGGTTTAAGAAAGAATTTAGAAGATTTACACGGCTTATTATTGATCTCTGCCCGCAGCCCGAGGACGTCAATTATGCCTCTCAGATGCGAGTATACAAAGACATCGGAGAGGAAATGCTGCTGCACGCCTTCGAGGGTTACAACGTCTGCATCTTTGCTTATGGTCAGACGGGTGCCGGCAAGTCCTACACCATGATGGGGAAACAGGATGTCAAGGATCAACAAGGAATCATCCCCTTGGTACGGACAGTTATCAACCAGCAAAAGAAACATGGTTCTGAATTTCTCAGATGCAACACTTTTGGAAATAATGTTGTTATTTTCCTCCCTCCCAGCTGTGTGAAGATCTTTTCACTAAGATCAATGACAACACAGACAACAGCATGTCCTACTCTGTGGAGGTAAGTTCAGGGGTCATCAGCTCCCCCCTGTATGCACCTGAACTTGTCACATGTTTGTGATGTGTTCAAGCTCATGTGATGACTCCGAACAGGTGAGCTACATGGAGATCTACTGCGAACGCGTACGGGACTTGCTGAACCCCAAAAACAAAGGGCACCTGCGCGTAAGAGAACACCCGCTGATGGGACCCTATGTGGAGGACCTGTCCAAGCTCGCCGTCACCTCCTACAATGACATCCAGGACCTGATGGACTCTGGCAACAAGGCCAGGTGATGGAGCCGTCCGTTTTCGTTCGGTCACTTCACCCTGAACGACCAGTGAATCTGCAGAATGGCAGTTACAGCAGTTACAGAGATTTAAAGACTGAAATTCACAATCTTGTGTACACAGATTCAGCTAATTTGATTATTTAAATTCTACCTAATTCACTTATAATAATGTTTTCAGATTGTGTTTGTTGTAACTTGAAAATGCACATCCATAGCAGGAAAACATGCCATATCCTTGTTGGATAAAAATGAGGAAGACGAGCAGCTTTTTCACGCACTGATAAAAACGTATTGACCCTCTCTCTGCAGGACTGTGGCTGCCACCAACATGAACGAGACGAGCAGTCGCTCTCACGCCGTCTTCAACATCATATTCACTCAGAAACGCCACGACGCCGAAACGGACAACACCTCTGAGAAGGTAGAGTGGTGTTTTTTTTTTTATCACATCCTGAGTGAATCTGTTTAACATCGATCCGTTCCCGCTGCTTATCTATAGGCTGATTGATGACAGTGATTTAAATCTCGTCGTAAATTGGAAATCAATGATTGCTTGAAGGTCATCGTGATAGTGAAACATTGTAAAGCTGTTGGTTTTTTGTTTATTTTATGAAACCTGTCTCTGGAATAAAGATGAACAACTTTAGCTTTTTGTTGTCTACATGTTGTTAGTTTGAACCTGGTTATTGGGTTTTCTGTTGAAAGGTCAGCAAAATAAGTTTGGTGGATCTGGCCGGCAGCGAGAGGGCGGACTCCACCGGAGCCAAAGGGACGAGGCTTAAGGTGAAAATGTTTTACACTGACTCGAAACAGCTCCACAACCTGATGTGGGAAACAAATATGATTTAAAATCCATAACCATGCAGTTGATTAATGTGTTTATCTTTTATGTAAATGTCATTCTCCGCCCTCTCCATCACAGGAAGGAGCGAATATCAACAAATCTCTAACCACGCTGGGGAAAGTCATCTCTGCTTTGGCAGAAGTGGTTTGTATTTTATCTTCATATTGTACATTTTTAGATCAGAGCAGATATTACATAGAATAAACATTTCTAATAATTTATTATTATTATTTTGTATTTATTATAATAATTTTACTGTCTACTTCATTTTAGGACTCTGGGCCAAATAAGGTAATTTATTTAATTTCTGTATTTAAATTGTAATTAATTTTATTCCTAAATGCCAATAAATATATTGATTTTGATTTAATACGCAGAATAAAAAGAAGAAAAAAGTGGAAAGCTTCATCCCCTACAGAGATTCAGTTTTGACCTGGCTGCTGAGAGAAAATTTGGGTATGAACGCATCAGTTTTTCTCTGTTAATATTTTGATGATGCATTAGTCTAATCTCTAATCAATCTCTTCTCTACATTGTGTCAGGGGGTAATTCTCGCACTGCGATGGTCGCTGCCCTGAGTCCAGCTGATATCAACTACGACGAGACCCTCAGCACACTCAGGTAGAGAGCAGACAACCCATTTTCTGCTGCATCTTTTTCCCTCCCACACAGCTGACGAATGTGGCTTTGAAGGACGCCGATGCCAGTGAGACCCAAGTGTTACATAATACACTGTTTCCTCAGCTGCTTGCATCAGTTTCACACTTCAAACACCCTTCACGACTTTCAGCTGCAGTGCCAGGCTGCAGAATCATGTGGATGTGTGATGTCGGGGGAAGGGGGGGGGGTTGTGAATTGTCTCGTCCCTCACCTGTGTCAGCGTGCTCAGTGATCCCTCCCTTACTCCCGCAGGTACGCAGATCGCGCCAAACAGATTCGCTGCAACGCTGTCATCAACGAGGATCCCAACAACAGACTGGTGCGCGAGCTGAAGGAGGAGGTGTCACGCCTGAAAGACCTCCTCTACGCCCAGGGCCTGGGCGACATCATTGAGAGTAAGGAGTCGCTGATTGGATTTTATTTCACCATCTGTGTTATCTCTATTGATTTCAAACTGGTTTGCAAAAGGTTTCAAACCTCTTTTCTAAGTAGGCAAATTATTCTCAGCCTCACATCAACCTCCACTGTTCCCCCTCACAAGCACTGCACCTTTATTCTCAAACATCGTTCTCCGTGTTCTCAAACATTGTGTGTGTTGAGGTGCGTTCAGATAGAATGTGAAGCAAATTAAGGATTGGCATATTACAATTTATTGCCATGTTGTAGCGATAAACAGAAAGTAGTGCGGGGCAGGGTTTCACCATAGACTGTAAATAAAGATGGACATGGCGTCCGCGACGTCATCCGCAGGTTTCTGAAGAGCGGTTTTGAAGCTCAGAGCGGCGCCTGACTCCGCCTGTCTCCTGGCTAATCCAATAAAGGGCAAAGAGGCGCTCACCCACCTGTCACTCAAAGCTGCACACCCTCAATTAATGCAGAACTTTAAGCCTAAATAAAATATGAACAGGTGAGTTATAAAAAAAATCACCCCTTGCACAGGTGTCACAAAGGGGGAAATTATTATTATTACCAAAACTGTTTTTTGCACCAGGCTGTAAACATGTTTATTTCTGCTGTAAAGTTAGAACATTTTAACATTGGAGTCTATGGGGATTGACTCGCTTTTGGAGCCAGCCTCTAGTGGCCATTTGAAGAACTGCAGTTGTTCACAGCAGCTTCTGAATCTTGGCCAGACAAGTTAGCTGACTTTAGTGTTTCATGAGTTCATTATACTTTTTTTTAAATCAAAAACCAGCTTCAGGCTCGACTCCTGTGCTTTCGGCCGTTCAGCTGTGCAAAAGCCCCACCTGCTCCGCCGCATTCGCTCATCTAGATGGAGTTAAGCTGAAACAGTAAAAGTTAATACTGATGAAACTGACAGGAATAGGTCACGCTGTTACACGGGGCCAACAGCTTTCATTGTAAAAGGCTGAAGAGAGGGAAAGAGCTTCATGTTGTATCTGGACGCAGCTTTAAAGTTATCACAAAAAACATGTGTGTGTTTCCTCATTCTCACAAACACTGGGAGCATTTCAGTGAGAACACACGTCGGAGATCAAAACTGAAAGTATCTGAGCTGTGTATTATATATTATGCACGGAGAGCAGTGGAGCCAAATTCATATTTATTCATATTTAACTCCCAGTATTCATCGAATAATAAACTGAATGTTTAAATCTATTAACATTTTTATCTAAAGGTGTTACACTGTCTGTTTCTCTCTCTCTCTCTCTCTCCCTCTCTCTCTCTCACTCTTTATCTTCTCTTCTCCCAGCATATCGAGCGTCTGGTGCTGAGATAGAGGGTTTGAAATGTGTGTTTTCTGGCTCTTGCTTTTGCTCTTGCGGCAGCTTAGCATCACCGGCGCTTACTGTGACAGTGAAATAGCAGCTTTTCTGTGTTTCTCTGCAGCACCGCAGTATCATGAGGAATTGAGCAGAATGATTTAGGGCGATTTGTAATGAAATCACAGGTATAGCTATAAATATTAATGCAATATTTTATTTATTTACATCACATAGTTCAGGTCTAAGGTTGATTTTCAGGATTTGTCATTGTGGCTCTAATCTTCAGATCCTTATGGGCTTCGCTGTGTGTGCCATGTCATGGTGCTGTAGAGATCTGTGTATGGCTTCGTAGCTGTGGCACTTGGTGGGACAGAGCTTTAACTGTTCATGAAGCAAGAAAGCAGAGCAATACAATATGGAAGGTTATTGACTGCAGCGTCATGGGATATATTGCGATCCTATCCTTTAATTTCCCTGATGCAGAAACTGTTGCCTCCCATTCCCCTGGCATGGTCCTGTCTGGCTCTAGTCACCTCCTGTTGGCGACCGTAAAGGAGAGCATGCAGTAAACATAAGATGAAAACGCATCCCTCGGTCGCAGAAAGAGTATAATCACTTGCATAATATTGGATCTTTGAGGTCGTCATCTCATTTTGTGTCATAAATTTTTATTGTCTTTCCATAATACATGAATTCATTAACTGCACTTCGAAGGCGATATTATGTGATCCATCTTGGCGGGCAGCACAGCCTGTCCAGATGGATGGGTGTGTGATACAGTTTTCCCAATTTATTGCTCTGTGTTGCCATAGCAGCAGCTGCAAGGGTTGATCTTCTTTATTTTGTAGGGTCTTGTAACAGGTCTTCAAGGTGCCGTCTTCAACAATGACACGAGATAAGATGGTGAACACAAAGCCAGGGGGAACATGATGTAAAAACTATTTTTGATAAATAGACAATATACAACGAGGACACGTTTCCACTCTGTCCAAACAAACTTACCACAGTGTCTGATTCACCGCCAGAGCAGTGGGTTTTCTACTTTCAGTGTTTCGCTGGACATGGCTAATTTTAGAGAAGCGCACTGAGCATTAAATGCATCTTGTTGCTTAATATAATGTTAATATGATAATCTGGCTTCCCAATGTTCTCTGCAAGAAATACAGCCCTGTTACAAATGAGTCATTATGCGTGTGCACATAGGCTGACGAGTTCATTTTCCATTCACTGATGACTCATTTTATTTTTGCTGTTTAAGATGCTCGATCAGGACATTTTCTATCTCAATTGACAAATTAACTGGATATAACAATATATATGTATATATATATATATATATATACACTTGTGAAAGCAGGATATTTCACAGTTTAACAATACATTTTATTGTCCAAAATGACATCAGTGCACTGACACGGTAAACTTCACTGGGAATTAAATAAAATAACTATAAAAATAAATAACTATAAACAAAAAACCTAAGAACAAATATGTATATATATTATATATATACAGTATATATTTAACTTGAATGGAAACAAAGGATCAAATACACATAAAATGCTGCCTATATAACTTGACCTGAGCCGAGCATTTCCACCGCATTATTGCTTCTTAATGAAAGTATTTATATCAGCTCATATCGGAGAATACATGCGTATATACAGTTACAGTTATGGCAGTTACATGGCCGTTACATTTTCTTGTTTTTGAATGATCCTGCATATGATGCTCTGCTTGATGTTTTCATATACTAGCTGCATTTCTTTGGTCATGGCTGGTTGGCCTTGTTGCACTTTTTTTAAGTTGTTCTTCTTTGCGTGTGGTGCTGCCTTCGCTTGAATGCCCGCAGTTAAAATTTCTCTCTGTGAGTCAGATTTGTTTCAAGCCACGTTTCTTCTTTCTTTTTTTTTCTTTTCTTCTACTCTCCCTTCTGTCCTCTTCCTTATCTGTCTGCATTTCTCCATTTCTTTACTCCCTGTTATCGATTATCCCAACTTCCTTGTACACTCCGTGCGCCCCCCCCCCCACCCCCCTCCCTCCCTCCCTCCCTCCCTCCCTCCCTCCCGCCCCGACAGACCTATCCGATAAGAACAATAACAATAAAGGCCAAGCTGTGAATCAAAAGGATGATCTCTCCACAGTGACCAATGCCATGACAGGGATGAGTCCCTCTCCGTCTCTCTCAGCCTTGTCCAGCCGCGCTGGATCCATCGCCAGTCTGCACGACCGCATCATGTTCAGCCCGGGCAGCGAGGAGGCCATCGAGAGGCTGAAGGTGACACCCTGCACTGCACTGCATGTTGCTAATGTTCACTTGTTGCATATTGTCAGATTATTGGCAGGTAAACATGCGTTTCAGTGTAAGGTCAACACATTAAACCCCTAAAGTGCGAGTGCTCTTTCTTTACAGTGTCAGTATTTAAAACATCTGGACTCTGTAGTTGTTCAGCAAACGTCAGTCAAAGTCAGAGAAAGCAGTGTATTTGTTGGAGCCTGTGTTGGTGGAGTATTTACAGCAGCAGGACAGTGTAGGTGGGATTTACTCAAAATAAACCACAGTGTGTGTTTGTGGTAGTAAAGGAACATGTCACCCAGGCTTATTGATGTGTTTATAATCGCTTTGCGACAACAATGAAGCTCAGAGGAAAAGGCTGCATCCAGCTTTGTCTTAACAGACAGAACCTCATTGTTGGTTTTGGGCTTTTCATGGGATCTGTCGACCAAAAGAAAAAAAAAATAACGCCGTCACCATCACCACTCGTCCTTGAAACGACTGCGCACTGTAATCTCCACTGTCTTTTTTAAAATGTCAGGAAACAGAGAAAATCATTGCTGAACTCAATGAAACTTGGGAGGAGAAACTTCGCCGAACAGAGGCCATCAGAATGGAAAGGTGCGACATACAATATTCTACTTTTACACTTTATTTCATTGTGTTAGCAAAATTTGTCATGTTTGTGTAGTATATAAAAACCTTTATCATTCCTCCACAGAGAGGCCTTGCTGGCGGAAATGGGTGTCGCAATGCGAGAAGATGGCGGGACAGTCGGCGTGTTCTCCCCTAAGAAGGTACGAGACACGTCCCGAAAAAACCTCCTGTGTTATTTAATATTTACCGTTTAAATTATTGACTAAATTGCTTGTTTATTTACCCCCCCAAAGCCCTCCGATAGCCCTAGAAAGCCCCAGCCTGTCTTTATCGACACGGTCGGGCTGTTTTCCCCCAACGAGGTTTGTCGCTGTGAAGTGTTTAAAGCCGTCTTCTTCTCTGAGAGCTCTTAGTCTCACTACGGCAAGAGCCTCGCAGATCAGACGAGGGTTTCTCTTTGTGTTATCTTAAATCTACTTCATTACTCACTTCAAACACTCCCTCACTGCACTGAAGGCGGCAACGGGTGTAAACATGGTGGTGGTGGGGGGGGAATAATGGTAGTGCCCCCATTTCAGTGATTTACGGCTGTTTGCCTGCAGCCCCACAACATCTGGCTGAGACTACATTAAAACACTCATGCTGCGAAGCTGTGGGGAGTGAATCTGACTGCATGTTACTGACTGTGTCTCACTGGGAGAGGCTGCTTTTCAGCCCTCTCGCGTGCACAGTATGTATATGTTTCAGTGTAAATAACCATAACGAATGACCCACCGTTTCTGCAGTGAGTGAATGATTCCTTGTTCTGTGTCAGACGCCTCATTTGGTGAACCTCAATGAGGATCCTCTGATGTCTGAGTGCCTGCTGTACTACATTAAAGACGGGATCACCAGGTTAGATGTTGACATTTTACCACATAATATCAGGGTAAGACTTAAGAAAAAAAAAAATACTCACTCAAGCGTGTCGATTACTTTTTTGTTTTTAGGGTTGGTCGTTTAGACGCCAGCAGCCGTCAGGACATCGTCCTCAGTGGCCACTTCATCAAGGACGAGCACTGCACTTTTACTAGTTCTGCCGGTCCGGCGGGAGAAAGTGAGGGGTCTTTATCTTGCTCCACAGGGTTTTCAAGTTGTGTAGATCAGAGTTTAATATTTTACAGACAGGAAGCGAAGTCTTACATTGTCCTCTCCGTTCCTAAGCAGTGGTTGTCCTCGAGCCCTGTGAAGGAGCTGAGACTTACGTCAATGGAAAGAGGGTGACGGAGCCAACTGTCCTCAGATCAGGTCGGTGAGCTCTCTCATTCTCCGTCTCCCTCACTTGAACCCAGCGCCGTCTTTTTTATGTTCTGATTTTTCACGCCCTCACAGGAAACCGCATCATCCTGGGGAAGAGCCACGTGTTCCGGTTCAACCACCCTGTCCAGGCGAGGGCTGAGAGGGAGAGGACCCCCTGTGCCGAAACACCCGCCGAGCCTGTGGACTGGGCCTTTGCCCAGAGGGAGTTGCTGGAGAAACAGGGCATTGACATGAAACAGGAAATGGAGCAGAGGTAGTTTGGCAAGGGGGGAGAAATACTGAGCCATTCAACTTTACAACGATAACACACTCAGTAAATGGCGTGCTGTTCCAAAAAATCAAGAATAGCGTTTCCTCCAGCCTCTTTTGTTCACCTGTGTTCGTGTCTGCAGGCTGCAGGAGTTGGAGGACCAGTATCGCAAAGAAAGAGAGGAGGCCAACAACCTTCTGGAGCAGCAGAGACTGGTACAGTATTCAGCAGTTTTGCATGTATCATCACCGCAGAGCATTTCTTCTCCTTCCTGTTCCTCGCTCATATTCAGGTGGTGGTGGTGGTGGGTCACTTGCAGGGGGCGGGGCCTGCTTTGGTTCTCTGACACTCTGATGGAGAGTGATCGCAATTGGTGGTTCATTGTGCACGTAGAGCCTGCAAACCAAGATCCAAGAACCATTAAATCAGAGTAAATCATCTTGCATCAGACAGATTCCTCCTGCGGGTTAGTCATGGAAAAGGAGAACCGTTTTCCTTTTGTATCAAGCTGAGAAAAAAGTTTGTGTGAGTTGCACTTCCTGCGATGTGAATATTGCATATATATATAGACAGTGTTGAAAAGATGTATTGTGCAGCACTAGTATTTATAGATATATCTCTTCGACTCTTCGACTTCAACAGTCGACTCACCTCCTGTTCCCAAATGACTTGTTGATGTGCCACAACCAGTTGTTTTAACATAGATCTCCATTAACCAATTGTTTAGGATTACGAGAGCAAGCTGGAAGCTCTTCAGAAGCAAGTGGACCGTTATTACCCAGAAGCCACTGAAGAAGAGGAGGAGCCAGAAGAAGAAGGTAGCGCAAATAATCAGACACTTAACAGACACAGGCATTTCTGTGCTGTTTGGCGAGAAAATCCTCTCCAAGATGATGACCTTTTATCGTTGTGGCCCACAGTGCAGTGGACGGAGAGGGAGAGAGAGCTCGCTGTGTGGAGCTTTCGTAAATGGAGGTGCTACCAGTTCACCTCTCTGCGTGACCTGCTGTGGGGGAACGCCATCTTCCTCAAAGAGGCCAATGCCATCAGCGTGGAGCTGAAGAAGAAGGTCCGGCGCGTTACTGTTGTTATACTCCACATGCATGAACTGATGTTTATGACATGTCTATCTGACGGCACCGATGTTTGGGTGTGTCCCTGCAGGTGCAGTTCCAGTTTGTGCTGCTGACAGACACCCTCTACTCCCCCCTGCCTCCTGACCTGTTGCCCCCGGAAGCAACTAAAGACAGAGAGAAGCGCCACTTCCCGCGCACCATCGTGGCCGTGGAGGTGCAGGACCAGAAGAACGGAGCCACTCACTACTGGACATTAGAAAAACTAAGGTACCGTGTCCTCAGAAAGCCTTCAGACCTGGACTCATCAATCTACACTTTATATCCTATAATGACAAAGTAGAAAAAATATGTTTTTAGAAAGTTTTTGCAAATGTATTAAAAATCTAAACTTTGTAGAAACCCCCATTAGCAGCAATTACAGCTTTGAGTCTCTGCAAGCTTTGGGGGTTATTGAGCGTAGATCGATCTTCACATGATATTTGCATTATAATATCTAGAGACTATATAATCTTAGTTGGCTGCTCTGTTGCTCATTAAGTCGGATGATTTCGCTGGAAACATTCCTTTAGTAATTGCTGTAACAAATAAAAATGTCTACAAGCCTGTGATATACAGCAGTAACAAGAAAAGAGAGACATTGTCAGTGTCTACGAGGAATACATCTCACATAAAACACGCTTTTCACTGCAAGAATATTCCTCATTAACTCCATGCTGTGGAGCACGTACTCGTAAATAACAACAGTGTGGTAACTGTTGCTGACACTCGCAGGCAGAGGCTCGATCTCATGAGAGAGATGTACGACCGCGCCGCCGACGTTCCCAACAGCGCCGCCACCGAGGACTGTGAAAATGTGATGACCGGAGGCGACCCCTTCTACGACCGCTTCCCCTGGTTCCGTCTGGTTGGCAGGTAAACGCTGAACGCCACCGGCCTTGCACACAGTGTATGAATGCATTCACACCGAGCTCATATACAAAGCGACAGCAGCGGCGAGCAAACAGAAGCCCAGTGATCGTCATGTTTTGTCCATTAAGGATAAATGGGAGGCTATTGAAGTAGTCTGCGGCCCACTTCATTATGATGTCTCTGTCATTACGTGCTGAAGTCTGATGTCTCTAGTCTGTGCTCTGAGTGCTCCACTGTGATCACATTTTAACCCGATATAACAACTGTATCTGTGTGACGGACTTACTGGGCGTCATTTATCAATAAGCGCACGGCGCAGTGATCGCAAATTTCCACAAACAGCATTTTGAAAATGTTATAGGTTCTACTGTCAGTTTATGAATCAAGTTTCTTTCTTTATTCTGATGTCACTGTGAATTTACTGTGTTTCTGCTGGACATGAAGCTTTGCAGCTCAAACACACAGGATGGACTGACCATCACTTCTTTCTTGTTGATGCCAATGGGAAAAAAAGAAAAAAAATCAGCTGTGAAACATTTGAGAACAAAATTTCTTCAGTCCTCCTACTCAAAGCCTGCTGCTTCTTTCTCTCCCACCTTGGCATGCACCCTCCCAACCTCTTTGCCAAGCTCTCTCTCTCTCTCTCTCTCTCTCTCTCTCTCTTTGTCTCTTGCAGATGGGTCCTACACATAATCACATGCCCCCTGTTACATAATATCCAGCATATAAAGCTTTTAATGTCATTTAACTCCTGCGAGACGAGCGAAAAATTATCAGGCGGCAAACGTCCTCTTGAAATATGTTCTTTGTCGGCTCGTTCACAACATCTATTATACAATAGGTGAGTAATACTGGCATACGAAGCCGCATGCACCACGTTTAATGAAACGAAATGTAGTCGCCCAGACAAATGAAGCTGAAGCTGGATGTGGCAGTTTCATTTGTAATATTTATTTGTACTTATCCGAAGCCAAAGACAGACTTTCAGCTCACCGCCTCACTGCGCTCATGATGGAGGGCTGTTGATTTTGCTATAAGCCTAACATTAAGCAATCGCTGTTAAATCAGTGCTCACCCTCAGCTGGTGAGTCTGGTTATATTTGATAGTTTATAAAGTAATTATTTGTTGATCAAATGAACCGAGTAAATCAATAACCCGAGTGTATCTGGTTGCTGTGAAACCTGGAGGCGACTGGTTCTCTAGTGGGCTGCAGGGAGCCTCTACCTTTACGTGTATCCATGGTCACACACTCCCAGCAAAAGCGGTTGAATACATCTTCACAACCACTGTAGCTTGTTTGCACTCCTCCATCTGTACTCTCTCTATCTCTCTCTCTCTCTCTCTCTCTCTTTCCACTAAAACAGCAGATTCAAAAAAAGGATGAAGGGTTTTTTTTTTTGGTTTTTTTTCTTCTTCTTCTTCTTCTTCTTCCTCCAGTGGGCTTCAACTCCAACCCCTCTTGTTTGAACAAGTGTGTGCTTTCTATCGAACTGTACTAACCTAGTTCCCATGTCTCTGGCTGCACCAGAAACCCCATTTTCAACACATGCATGAGCGAGCGCATGAGTGACCCTACCCCGTCCCCGACCCTCTCCAACTCTGAAATTACTGAGCTGGCTGACTCGCAGCGGGAGGGTCGAGGGGAGGAGGAGTTGGAGGAGTTGGAGGACCTGGACGATGATATCTTTTTGGACGACCCGTGCTCGGAGCTCGGGGGAGAGGATGATGATGATGATGATGATGATGATGATGATGATGATGATGATGATGAGGGAGAGCTCTGCCGAGGCTCCAGCGAAGGCCAGGATCCCTTTTACGACCGCTCACCATTATTCAGTGTAGTGGGAAGGTTGGTGAGGTTTCGGGAGCATGCTGGTGGAGGAAACTAGCTCTTTCACGCTGAGACGCAGGGTCCGTTTCCCTCGATAAGACGTCAGCACAGAAAGGAAAAGACATTTTTTTTCGAGAAAAAAAAACGCAATGCGCAATACAGATACAGCACAGCAAGTATGTTCTCACAAAGTCCTCACTCTATTCTGGATTGTGTGTGCATGTACGGTGGCCCTGAGAGCTCAACAGCAACACTGCAGCTGAAGAAAACACACGCAAAACAGACGAAACACAAACAAATTCAGGAAACATCTTCATCAATTTTGACAACAAGCGCGCCGCCAAATACACGAACGCTCTGTGTTTCCACGTGCATTAGTGTCCCCCCTGGAAACTGTGCTACCTGCATTTCTGTATTCGGTTGTGTTGTGGGTATTTGCGGCGCACGTCTTGTCGAATTGATGCAGATGTTTTCATGAGTTTGTTTGTGTTTTGTCCGTTTGCGTGTGTCGTCTTGAGCTGCAGTTGCGTGGAGCTCTCGGGGACACCGCATGTCTTTTTGTTTTTCTTATGTGGCAATCACAGGCCTTCTGTCCAAATCAGCCTGTTAGCTTTTTTTCTTTTTTGGTTTCCATTTTACTGTCTCAGTTTCAGTTGGGACAAATAGGCGACAGTTGTAATGTCAGCATGGAGGTTGGGGCTTATGTTTGTTTAACTGTGGGATTTCCATTCATTTCATCTTCTTAAAAAAAAAACTTCATGCTTGCTTAGTACTCCAAGTCAAACTATCCACTTAAGTTTCTGTTCCCCGTCTCCGTTGTCATCGCCACTGTGTCTCATCTGTTTGAGACACAAATGTTCTCAAATGTCAAAGCACTAACAATGTCTACAGCATTTTCTTTCACGACTCTGTTACTGAGTGGACACTGGAGTAGACATTTCTGGGCTTCAAGGTTTATCTTTTGCTTTTATTTGTTTAATCTCATCAAATTAGATGCTTGTTTTTTTGTTGCTGTTTTTTTGTTTTTTTTTTGTGTTCACTTAAATTAAATGCTTCTCACTCATGTTGCGGTTCCACTTGACAAACGAGTGCTTTACGTCAGCCAGGGGTGGGTCAGCACATACCACTTGTTTCCGTGAAAACTCAAGCAATGTTGATGCGTCAACGGCTGCTTGAGGTGTGTGTGTGTGTGTCTCACTTACGCGTGGCTAAATGTTAAGCATTTAAAGAGGACCGTTCGCTAGCCAAAGCACTGACATGTCTCATGGAGTGTACTGACGCCTGATTCGCATTACACAGGGAACCCACAGCGAAACGTTCTCACCGTGCTGTGAAACCTTGAATAAGCACGAAAGAGACTGAAAATTACTCATATGAAAATAGCAAAGTGGAGATCAAGGAAGACTCAAAAATCTCAAGATGAAAGAGCTGGTTTCTACTGCAGCTGTCTCTTTTAGGCATGCCAGAGCACAAGTCTTTTCATTTTTATCTTTTTTTTTTTTTTGTCAATTTTTTTACTTGAATACGTCTGATGATGAACTAATGCCCCTATTTTGCACAAATTAGCACTTTGCCCAAGAGGTGCGCTTTGATTTCTGATGTCATTCATTGGTTTTCTTTTTTTCTTTTTGGTGTAGCGTATAATCTTTCAAGCTGTTGGCAGTTTTTATTCAAGCTGAGCCATGTTTGGTATGATGATTTTCTGTTCCATTTGCTTTTGATTCCTTTGAGTCGAGAAGTTGGAAGCATTTTTGTTCACCTTTTTTGTCCTGAGCATGCCTTCTTTGCACCTCACAATCTTGTCATAAGCCCTCTCCCTTTTTACACTCCACCCTTAAATGTCTACCCCTATTGGCTCGTGGAAAATGTGGTCTTTGACTGCAAGATCATGTATTGTAGCTACAAAACTAGAGACTGAATAACTCAAGGAGGAGAAACACTTGTAACGCAGTTGTTCCCACATTTATATTCTCTACTGCTAGCTTTATTCAAATCTAACGGTGCCTCATCTAAATCTAAATCTTAAGTGTTTAGTTTGGCTCCGTACATTTGATATTTAGTGTATTGAGGCACGCGCATGATGTACATGTTAGTGCAGCAGATAATCTTTAAGCAGTACAAAGAAAGATTATTTCAGACTGAGGAAATCATCTGCTCTCCAGATTAGCGTAAAGCCGCTTTCCAATATTTTGAAATCATTTAAAGGATTCAGAGTTGTACCCTTACACACATGCTCCTTAGCCTCACCAAGCTTTCATTAGTATAGTACAGAAGTACAGGAATACTGCATGCGACCCATAATTGTCCTGATACAGTCATCATGTGTAGATGGTGAGGAAAAGCCCCTGCGAAGCGATAGTAAAGGGCAGCCATGGCCATCGCAAGAGCAGTCCCAGCTTCTGTTTGGTTGCTTTGCAGCTCTGTGTTCTGTTGTCCAGTCCAGTGACATTTATCAAGTGTGACACGTCTCCTCGGCTTGTTTGTCTTTAATCCCTCATCGTTTCTCTCCCTCCCTGTGCAGGGCTTTCGTTTATCTGAGCAACCTGCTGTACCCGGTTCCTCTCGTCCACCGCGTGGCCATCGTCAGCGAGAAGGGAGAAGTGAAGGGCTTCCTCCGGGTGGCGGTGCAGGCCATATCAGGTAAGGCTCGGATCCTCAGTCTCAGGGTGTGAGGGAATGAAAAGGACAGGCTGTGTGTGACTTCTTGAGGGAGTGAAGTGAAGGTGCTTTGTGTTTCCCTCCAGCGGATGAGGAAGCTCCCGACTACGGCTCAGGAGTGAGGCAGTCAGGCACTGCCAAAATCTCCTTCGAGGATCAGCAATATGAAAAGGTAGAGAAAATCTGTGTTTACTGCACTATATATCAGACCTGTGTGCACACAGTTACCCACTGACCAGTCTGTGTTTTGCACCTTGCTTTTGCAGTTCCAGTCAGAAACCTGCTCTGTGGGACTGTCCCGCACAGGGATCTCCCAGGAGGAGCTTCGCATCGTGGAGGGGGAGGGGCAGAACGCAGAAATAGGACCCTCAGCTGACGAGGTCAACAACAACACATGTGCGGGTAATCGTATTCTACGAGTGAATGGACACACGTTTTGTGTGTTTGGATGTGTGTGTGTGTGTGTGTGGCCCCTGCTTAATCTGGCACACCTGGCTGACTCTGACCGGCGCAGGGAAAGGAGGAGACGATTCTCAAACTAAATCAGTCCGAGTCGGTCGGTGCCCCTAAAACGAGCACAACTGAGCGTTCTGACAATCCACTACCTGGAATGCAAGCTTTAACCTTGTATCTAATTTTTGTCTTCGCCTGCGTCACAGCTGGTGGAGACGAGCTGGAGAATCCGCTGAAGGCCACTCTGGACGGTCCGCTGGACGCCCTGGAGCACCTGAGGATTGGTAATATTTTCACCTTCAGGGTAACCGTCCTGCAGGCCTCGAGCATCTCTGCAGAATATGCTGACATCTTCTGCCAGTTCAAGTAAGCACTCATCACAATGTTTTCCTAATTACACTCGGTATTTATTGTATTTCTTTCATCTTTCTTTCATTTATGAATTTTCTCTGTTTCACCGTTTTGATTTCAGTTTCATCCACCGCCATGATGAGGCCTTCTCTACTGAGCCCCTGAAAAACACAGGCCGCGGCCCTCCTCTCGGCTTCTACCATGTGCAGAACGTAAGGAGCGTCCGCACAGATCCTGCGCTATCATGTGTCGTTTGCCATTTTTAATAGGACATGTACTTAAACATCACTGTGCTGTTTTTTTGTAGATTGCCGTTGAAGTGACTAAATCCTTTGTTGACTACATCAAGACTCAGCCAATCGTGTTTGAGGTGTTTGGACACTACCAGAAACAGCCTTTTCTTCCTCTTTGTAAAGACGTCATCAGGTAACGTGGCAGCTGCTTATACAGACAAAGACGCAATCTGTGTTGTTGTGTTTCCATAATGACACGTTAATGGTGTTATTGTTGTTGTTATTTCCACAACCAGTCCACTACGTCCCTGCAGAAGACAGTTCCCACGCGTGATGCCTCTGTCCAAACCAGGTAAATAAACTCCAGGCCGGAGTTTACTTTTCTTCAATTCCACGATTGATGTGTACGTTGCATATGTTGCACAGTCTTTGTGTTGGTCTGCCTGCACCGTCATGTCATCTCAGCTTCATGTTGTTGGGTGTGAGCAGTGGACTCCGACGACTCGCCGGACCGGGAGAAATCGCTGGAGCTGATCCGATACCTGGTCCCAGATGTGTTCAATGGGGCGCTGGTGGACTCGCTGTCAGGCCACGCTCTGTCTGCCGCTGGCTTGGCTGCTTCCTTCCTACTGGAAGCAAACGAGCAAGCTCAGTTGCCTGCTCCACCCACCTCTATCTGTTCAGTTATTAAAGCTCAGAAGCCGGGTTGGTTAATGATGTCAAATCCAAGAGAATCCTGCAACTGGAAACCTTTTTTTATATCAAGTGTTTATCTTGGTGTGTCACGGCGCAGTGCAGTTAATTGATTATCGACTATTTCAAAGGACACGACATGTTATTTTTGTGTAGAGATTCAAGCCGCTGTGACAGTGTTGCTCAAACGTAACACTGACGTCTGCCCAGATCCTGGTTCGATGTTGTTTTAACTGACCCTGTCACTCTTCCTGCACAGGGGGAGAGAAAGGGTCACAAGAAACAACAAATATTTAGCATGTTATTCATTAAATTACAGTTACTACTGGTCGCTGACTAGTAGGAGCCTTTAAAAGTCTTAAGAACGACATGAATTGATATAAAAAGGGACGTTTCTCGTGTCAGAATTCAGTTGGATTGGCTCTAATGTATTGTGTGTTTACTGTCGACCTGCGTGGTGGATTCTCCCTGCAGTTCCTTCTTTGAGCTCCTCTTGAACTGAGCCGCAGTGCCTCTCCGCAACAAGTAGTCATCAACAATACTCTCTCAGATGGGAATGTTCATTTATATAGTACATTATATGGTTAAATTATATACGACACATAAAAGACAAAGGACTTTACTACCAAAGAGTTAGAAAACAGATAAAACAGATAATGAACTATTTGAAATAATAAATACAACGAAGGAAAAGAGGATTTTGTAGAGGCTTTAATACACTGTAAACATCACAATACTTAGTCCATGCTGTATATTATTTTTGCAATGTGCAAACGGTTGCAGAAACATACAAAAACACATTACACAGAATACTACATATTATATCTATAGTATTCTATATGTTATATTTATGCTTGAGCTTGGGCCAAACCTCTGTGTTGCATGCAAATGTTTTTTCATGCACACTCTCTCTTAAATCTGAACTCCTGTCTTTGATTCGGATGGAGCTCAATCATTTCTACAAGACAACTGAATGATCACAAATCAGAAACGTAGATTTACTTTCAAAGGAGAATACTGTTTAAGGAGATTGTGCGTATGCTTTTCCTCATGCACAGGTTCAGTCTGTATTTATGTATGCAAAGGTTTACAAATACGTACTGTAGGTGAACTCTCAAACTGCATAGGGAAACCAAGAGCGTAATGTAGTGGTAATCTGTAAGAGAGGGCTGCAACGTTGCTAATAAACCTGCTGAAGAAAAGGAAGTCCTACTCTGCAGGTTCCTGTCTTTCCCTCGCATCACTGATTTCCTTTCTTCTTCCCTTTTCTCTTTCCTCTGTAGGATTAGAGCTGTTCTCAGCTCCCTGTTCATAGCCACTAGTCTGCTCTCTCTTTTCCCCCTCACACCATCTTCCTTTATAACCTTCTCTATCTCCCTTTTCAACACAGTACCTGCCACCAAACTGACAGCCATGACCCGCCCACAGGCAGGACCCTGCCACTGTAAATATGATCTCATGGTGTTCTTCGAGATCTGCGAGCTGGAAGCCAATGGAGAGTGAGTTTATCCAGCGCTGCGCTTTATTTTCACCCGGCAGATTCTTGGAATCATTTTGCAGATATTTCCATTAAATTTAATGTTGAAGACATAAATTTGATAATTATTGGAAACCACAGACATCTCTCTTGTACTATAAATCAAGTGAGGCTTGTTTTTTGTTTTTTTTCCCCAGCTACATCCCTGCAGTGGTGGACCACAGAGGAGGAATGCCGTGCCATGGCACATTCCTCCTGCACCAGGTACGCCAGTTGCACTGAGTAAATATAATATTTGGAATATTTTAAATGTGCTGAACACAACCACACCTCTGTTTCTGTCTCTGTAGGGCCTCCAGAGGAGAATCACCGTTACTATCGTACATGAATCAGGAGGTGACATGGAGTGGAAGGAAGTCCGTGAGCTTGTTGTGGGTAAGTTCTCTCGACCCTGAAAACCGAACATATCTCCCAACAACGTGTACGAACTTTTGTTACTGAGGCACGTGTGCTTTCCCAGGACGTCTCCGCAACACCCCTGAAGCTGATGAGACCATCATCGACCCCAGTATTCTGTCCCTCAATATCTTGTCTGCTGGGTATGTCAGGCCCATGCAAGATGACAGGTACGTACCGGTGAAGACATGTAGATGGAGGCGCTTTAGTTTGCGGCTGTAAGATCGTAAAGCACTGCGCCAGCGTATGCTTTGTAACTTGGTGAATTCAAAATCAAAACGTCTCGTGGCCAGAGGCACATTTACTCTACAGTTGTGGCAGCTTGGCTGAATTTGGAAAAAAACCTCTGAAGGGTTCAACAACAGTCTTATTACTGCTGTGGCAGCTCACGCTCTGGAACACGACACACACGGGGGGGGCGAATGCATGGCATCGTGAAACCCAGCTCGTCAGAAAAAACAAAGCATGGCGGGAGAGGCACAACTTGAATGTTACAGCAAATCTCAGCGAATTCTTTCGTGCTGTTAGCTTAGCACTGCGTCTGCATGAAGCTACTGTGGTTTTCCTATCTCTAACTGCAGGAAGTCACACATTAAAAAGAGAAAAAAAAGAAAAAGAAAATCCAGAGTGACCATGAGAAATATGATTTATTTAGACCTAAATCTGCCACATCAGTAGTTATGAATTCACTGGTCCTTTGCTGGCTGTGCGACCCTCCTTGGTGTTAATCTGTGCTCTCGTTGTTTGATTGTCATCGTTGCACCTACATGTTGCATCTCACCGTGTTAATCACCTCACCTCTAACCCCTGCCATCTCTCAACCATGATTAGATCCACTAACCCTGACACTGACCCTGCTTATGACCTTCCAGGGCCTTTTACGTTTTTATCAAGCAACCTCATCTTACTGTATCTTCATGAATTAATACTGTAGCAGCCCAGTACGGAATAAAAAATGCATGTCTTTCTTGCTTATCCAGCAGCATGTATCACTAATAATAGTGTAAGCTCACTAACTCACCTTAAACTATCAATATGATGTCACGCATTGGACATATAACATTTCATCATCACTTTATTGAATCCAGTGATTTAACTTTTGATATTTAAGAATCACCGACTGTAGATCGAAGGACGAAGTTTCTGTTAATCATGCACTGACCTCTGTAATGTCTAATTTGAAACCCCTGATAATGATGTTTCCGGGTGTGTTTGTTGGATTGCAGCCTAGTTTGTAGAATAGACTCGAAGCAAAAGAGAAGGATGATCAACAGCCCAAATGAAAAATGTCATATTTTTACACAATATTTTTCACTAACATCGTAAAATTCTAGTTAGTTATGTTGCTCTTTGTGACTGTGACATCTGCAGCCAGCCACTAGAGGGAAGTAGGTGTCTTTTAAGGGCTTGTGGCCCCATAATGGGAACTTGTGTTAAGATATACTGTATAGAGACTTTTGTTTCTTTAACATATGAAATAAAAAGTTACCATCACCAGTGTGTGGTGGCACAATAACTGTTGAGTAGTTCTGTATGTATTAGTGTGTTTATAAGGACAAATATCAGTATAGATTTTCTGTTAATGTCATTTGGCCTTAATGATCATATCACCCGAGTTAAAATATGAAAACCAAGTTATTTTTTTTAAGTAATTTTGCCATTTAACTTAACTTATGATTTTTGTGACGCCCTGTTTTTTGGCTCGTTGCTTAATCCCTTTGCTTTCCCAACCGCTCTCCCGAAAGCCTAACGATAACAACAACATGATCACCCAGACCTGGGTTTACTGAGTTTCAGCCTAAAATAAACCAGATGCTCCGAGCAGCTCTGACCAGTGGCCCCCGCTCGACCAGCCTTCCTTTGACCATGGTGCTGCGCCCCTCGGTACAACACTAAACATTTGTGTTGTTATGGCCTCAGTAGCCAAGAATGTTTAAGGGCTCAGCACCAGGCTGTGGTCCAGCGCCGCGGCCCCTGCTCCGTCTTGCTCATACTAACATCAAGGTGTAAATGGATGCTAACATTTTTCTCCCCTCCAGTCCACTAACGGAATGTTGTTTTTTGCTTTTGCAGACAGTTTCTTGATTCGGACATGCCTAGGTATATTATTTTGCCTCTCTTCTCGTGCTCTTTAAGTTACACAAACACCTCATCTTTCTAACGTCCTCTACACCCTGTCATTTCCAAGTTATCCTCCAGTGTTTTCGTTTCCTTCTCTCCTACTCTGCCATTACTGTCAGCAATTCATCTGTGCCTCTTTGTTTTCTCCCTCTCACGAGGAATGAGGGAAACTTTCCTGCATGTCCCTGGTTCTCTTGCTGCGCTGGGTGGGGGTTTGAGCTGTTATCAGGCTGTGGTTTATGATGGACAGGGTCTGCATGGCTCGCTGTGCTTCTCGTGGACTGTCCTTGGCTGTGTCTCTGCCGGAGGTGTCGTGGGGCCAGTATCACACTCTCTGTTTCCACTTCAGCAGTTGCTGCAGCAACTATCTCATAACGGTGATTTCAGAAAGTGTAAAGTCAATATTTGGTCACTCTTGCATTTGTCTTTAGGCCAGAAACAAAGAATTTTAAAGGTCCCATATAGTATAAAGGTAGATGTCCATGTGTTGTTTGATTATAAAGCAGGTCTAGGTTCTATATTATTACTGTGAAAGTATCAACAGAGAAATGCACACAGCCTGTATTCAGAAACTGAGCCCTAAAACGAGCCGTCAGGACTTCTGGAACTTTGTGATGTCACAACAAAGCAGTCACCAAGCCCCGCCCACCTGGACCCACCATCCTGCCTTGCAAGATTTGGTTTATACCTGAAATCTGCTATATTTTTATTCAACCACTCATAAAACAGTCAGCCAATCAGAAGAGATGTTCAGAGCCTCCTCTTCCTCTGATTGGCTCACCGACCTGTTGTTACTAGAGCTCCAGAGAGAAGCTGTAAAACTACACTGAGATTGTTTACGGTTCTTTAAATCACAAATATATACTTCTTATAGATCAACACTTTAGAATAAAACACGGGGGGAAAAGTGTAAAATATGGGACCTTTAAAATGTTGCCCACATCAGTATCACCACTATCCTTTTACTCTGATTGTTTACAGATGCTAATTTATTCATAGATTCAAATTAAAAGGCAACAAAGTCACATCCAACATGATTGTTCGCTGTATCTGGAACCAAAAGGTCTCAGCATGAGTAAGCTGTATTAGCCCTACATGCCAGAAGAGGGCGGTAGTGATCCGTTATTACAACACATTTGAAACAACAAAGGCAGAGAGATGAATCTTGTATTTAGCAAGAAGATTCATAACATTTGGAAAAACTGTAATTTTCCTTTCAGCACTCTGTTTATTATTTTACTTTGCCGTGAAGCAATATTTTGAATCCATGGATATGATTTTCATATTTTCTTGGTTACCTCTAATACCGAGGGCCAGGGAGTGCTTCCCATCACAGCTACAGAGCAGTAACAGGAACACAAGTCATCCACTATTACTCAAGTGCTGTAATATGGATCACATCATTTACAGTACCCGCTCTGGCACCATATTCAAATGCGGCTATTAAAATGTAATCTAGTGAGCCATTACCTCACCGGTAGCACTTTGCCCAAACTCACTGCAATGTTGTGAATATTTTTAAATCCTGCTTGTACCTCAGTGAAACTCTGCCAGACACCAGAAACAAATGGCTCCTCACATGTTACGCCAGCAGCATGACTTCAATCCTGGCTCCTGCAATTTTTAGGAGGTAGTAAAATGTAGAGAAGCACATGTTGGTGTAGTGCGAGGAGGAAATTGCTTCCTTGTAGTGTAAGCGACCAGGTTTCTTTCTACTACTGGGAAAGCAGTGTGTGTGTATACCTGTGTGTGTGTGTGAATCCACTTGTTAATTACTTAAAAAACAGGTAATTTCTACACTGAATCGCCATAACTCTCACAGAGAAGCAGTCGGTTCTCTTTACTACTGGCTGTTTGCTTTTCTTTTTTCTTTTCTGGGTGACACAATGTCCACTTTCCCACAAGGTCACCTCAGTCCAGGGCCAGTTTTTGGCCCAACATCTGAACCTCATGGAGAGTCCATTCGGCCCGTTTTTATGGCTTACAGAAACATTAGTTTCCTTTTACAATTCTTGCTTGGATTATCTTTTTTAGATTTAAGGCCGTACCGGGCCGCAGGCCAGAAGAATAACTGGTTACAGTGTGTGATTATTTCCCCTTGGGGGAAATGGGAAAAATCATGTACATTAACGTATGGAGTAAATCAGAGGCGTAACAGAGAGCAGTGTTGTTTTATTTTTTATTTTTTTGCTTGAAGAATGGTCACGTGCTGTTATTTGACCTTTTCAATGGTAGAGCAGGATGAGCGGTTGCATCAAGTCAAGCAGCACCTTCCGCAGGATTTCTCAACTCGTCTCCTAAGGGTGAGATGCGCTGTCCACGGCAGTGTTTACATAATGAGATAACAGTGTGGAAAAAAGACAAACACCATCCCAGCCACACAAGCGCATAACCACAACATACTTCCTGACTCTCACTTTCTATTCTTTTGCTGATTTCTTCTTTCTCACAGCACTTCCTTGGGAGTTGACCATAGGTATTTCACTGCCCTGTCCCTCATTTCTTCTGGCTGTCTCTCATCATCCCCCTCCCCCACTTTTTTCTGTATTAATAGTCATCTCAGCTCTCTTTGCTTTTCTATGGTGTTGTGTACAAGGCAGAACATCAACTCAGCCTGTTGCATGCAAAAAGATTTCATTAATGCTTTTTACTAATGAGATTTTGAGGAATACTCACTATAAAGTTTATTATTATACAAAGCCAACAGTAACTTGACTTTTTATTTTATTTTTTAATCATAAGATTATTTTCCCAGTGTGTCAAGTTATAAAATGTTAGTGCACATCTTTTTGTATGTGAAGTATTTTTTGATTATTGAAGTGTATCCTGATTTTCATGTTAATGTCTCCGTTGTTAGGTTGACAAACTGTAGTATGACTTTTTTTTTTTATTGCTTAAAATGTTGACTGCTCGTTCATTGTCTCGGCTTCTTGTTCAACAAACCACCTCAGGACCTTCTTCCGCTTCGAGGCGGCGTGGGATAGCTCCATGCACAATTCTCTGCTACTAAACCGAGTCACTCCGTACGGGGAGAAAATCTACATGACCCTCTCAGCCTATCTGGAGGTACAGTATACTGCCCGCATTCACGAGAGCCAGAAATAGCTCGTTCAGGATCAGAGGTCATGTGTAAAAATTACTCCAGAGGAACAATGTGGGCAAATCCTCCACTTTTATCACTTGCAGATGGAGAACTGCACCCAGCCCGCGGTCATAACCAAAGATATCTGCATGGTGTTTTACTCACGAGACACAAAGCTCTCGGCCTCCCGCTCTATTCGCAACCTCTTTGGTACCGGAAGCCTGAGAGCGGCAGATGGGTGAGTTTGAAATTTGAAACAATGAGAAAACATCAGGTCGTATCCTGCGTCCACTCAGCTGACTTCACTGTTTGTTTGTTTTGTTTTGTTTTTTTGTTTCAGAAACCGTGTAACTGGAGTTTATGAGGTCAGCTTATGTCACCTGGCAGATGCAGGAAGCCCAGGTGAGAGTTCAAGACGCAGTTAACCGTTCTGCTTTTAAGCTTAACTTCTGCAACATTTCTAACCCTGCACCTGCCCCCCCCCCCCCCCCACAGGTATGCAGAGGAGACGCAGGCGGGTGCTGGACACCTCCGTGGCCTACGTCCGTGGGGAGGAGAACTTGGCTGGATGGAGGCCCCGCAGCGACAGCCTCATTCTGGACCACCAGTGGGAGCTGGAGAAACTCAGCCTCCTTCAAGACGTGAGGCGCATTCGTTACTTTTCTCTTACAACATTTACTTTAAACAGCATCTGACGGTACGTGACACCGGCCCCTCATTTATTGAACATGTACCAAAACACGTGCCTCTCCTGTAAATCATCTATTTAATGATTAACTCTCTTAAAACATCTAAATGAACAGAGACACAGCATAAATGTGTTCAAACATACTGTCATAAAAAGCTTTTGCTTCTTTAACGTACTAATTTAAGTAATTCCTAAAACACTTATTAGGATTAACTGCTAATTTGCAGTGTGACCTCAGGATAAATTAGAGGCCAGAGAAATTACGTGCTCATGTCTGACTTTGTTCAGAGACAAGAAGAAGATCTTTGTTGTGATCTGCAGAAAAACTGTTGAGACATCCAGGCACTGATTTTCTGAAAACAGATGTGTGAAGTGAAATTTGCAAATATTCCATTCCCTCAGGTGGAGAAGACCAAACATTATCTTTTGTTGAGAGAGAAACTGGAGTCCACCCTGCTCGTGGGCCAGGACTCCCTGCAGTCCTGTGTCACTGAGGAGCTGAGTGAGTCTCCTCAGGCCCCCGAGGTCGACCAGGAGGTCGGCAGCTTCAGCTCTGAAATCACCACGGAGAGGCAGAGGGAGCTCGCCGCCAAGGTCAGCCATGATTATCGTGTGAATTTGCATTTTCAGGTTTAACTTGTGCACTTGTGCACATTTTTTTTTCATGATTTTTGTGTCTAACTTCATAAACTTTAAGCTCTCTGTCCTTTCTCACAGTGTTTGAGGCTCCTCACTCACTCCTTCAACAGAGAATACGGCCACGTCTGTGTCAGCGCCAGTGAAAGCAAGGTAGTGCTTTAAAGACGTCCATGTAAACATAGACACGTATAAATAAAGACAATGTGATCAGTGTCTGTTGATTTGGTTCCACATGGTTGACCGAGCACCTGTGTGTGTGTGTGTGTGTGTGTGTGTGTGTGTGTGTGTGTGTGTGTGTGTGTGTGTGTGTGTGTGTTTCACAGATCTCAGAGATGTCTGTCACAACACTAAGAGACTCCACTTCAATCTCTGCTCTCAACACAATCACACCCTCCTCAACATGCCCGTCACTGGTTGAGGGTTGCTACGGCAACACTGAACTCAGGTAAGCCCTAAGACACACTTGTAAGGGTCATGCTTTTGTCTCATTTGTTATCCCTGGTAGCCATGGTAGCCAAATGTCGTGTATTACAGATTGCAGTGTTTGGTTGATGGCTAACATGAAGCACTGAGGGTGTTATTGGTTTGTTACGAGGGCTTAAAGCCTCTTCTTATTGCACCACAGACCACCTTTGCCCCGCTCGCGTGCCGTCAGTCCCGGTCCTGACACACAGCAGGACGCCGAGGCCAAGAAGTCCCTCAACGGAGCCTCTGACGCCAAGCCTCGCACCCGCAAGTTTGTCCCCGACATCCAGGAGATTAGAGTCAGGTGAGTCTGCTACAAACAGCTCCAAAAACACGTCCTCACTTTTGAGTTGTGACGATGAACGTCTCGGTTTCACGTGTGGTAATATGTGACCTCTGCTTCTCAGCCCCATTGTGTCAAAGAAGGGTTACATACATTTCTTGGAGCCGCACACCAACGGGTGGGTGAAGCGCTACGTTGTGGTGCGGCGGCCGTACGTCTACATCTACAACACAGAGCGAGACACCGTGGAGCGGGCTATTCTCAACCTCTCCTCGGCTCAGGTGGAGTACAGCGAGGACCAGCAGGCAATGCTGAAGGTAGGTGGTTTTTACAAAATCCCCCCAAAATCCCCTCTTTTCTGCTCTGTTGTGCCAAAATAATCCTTTACTTTTTTGTTTTCGTCTTTCTCAACAGACCCCAAACACATTTGCTGTGTGTACAGAGCATCGTGGAATATTGCTTCAAGCCACTAATGACAAAGAGATGCATGACTGGCTGTATGCGTTTAATCCTCTCCTTGCTGGAACTATCAGGTAAAAATATACCGAATCCTCTTTCGGACAAAAAAAAAAACTTTTACAGACGAAAGTGAAAAAGTTGTATATTTTTGATACGTATCTTCTCGTCCGCCTCTCAGGTCAAAGCTGTCGAGAAGACGAGCCGGACAGATGAGGATGTGAAACAACACTATGAACAAATTTCACGAGAGAAGGATAAACGCAAAGACTTCTATGTACATAGATCCTTGTCCCTATCCCTCCCCCCTGTGCTGAGCCCCCGTCCCCCGTCCCCCACCACCACCACCACCAACAACAACAACGACAACAACCATCTTTCCCCTGTACGCTCTCAGTTTATCACTAGTGTCCTCGGCACCTAAAGCGCCCATTTTGTGTCAGGCCTTTGCTGCGGTGTGAGTCTCGTAGTCTGAAGAACCTCTTCAAAAAAGCTGTCACTGTACTGTACTGGAGTTTATTCATAGCTGGACGGATGAAGAAAAATGGAGGAAGTAGCAACAGTTTCTTATCTCAGATTACATACGTATGGTAATGTACTGTAGTTGTTGTCAGTGACACATCAAGCCTTATACATTTATTCCCTAAAAAAAAAATAAAATAAAATAAAAAAAAATGCAGTGACATTTATCTTACTTAAAGCTGCCATGTCAGTGAGGATCACACTGCTACATTTGCATCAGTAAATAGGCAAACATGCAGATTCTTCTCTACTCTGCTCTACAGCTATATATACAGTGTCTAAACAGGTTTGCATACAACATACAGCTAGAAAATACACGCTAAAAGAAAAAAAAATGACAGTTGAGTGTAACTCTTCAGAATATTTCTCTCTTCTTTCTGGTCCATAACTCCTGACATTGAGTAATCTGCCTCCTATCCCTAAAACTACTTAGAAACTTTAGCACACACACAGCCTGGCAAGGGAATGGCATATCAACATAAACTTCATGTTCTTGTGGCATTTTGATAAATCCATGTCGTTTTAGCTACTTGTAGGAGCACTGTGGGTATCTACATTCACACCTTAAGTAATCAAATATCATCCCATTAATCCTCCCGATTTAATCTCATTCTCTACCTGATTTTTGTTTTAAAATGTGATATATTTAGATATTTAACAGCTTTATTATTTATTTCTGCATGTATTTATTTACAAAGACATTTATATTTCTAAAGTAGTAGTACCGTGCAATTTCTGCACACTGCACTTTTTAATATAAGTTCCTTAAATGTTTGAACAATACAACCTTGTCCCCATGCAATTAATGCTACTGAAACAATTTAATAACTTTATGATTGGCCAGTTTCATTACCTGATTGCCTGACTAATAATATCCCCTTTAAGATTAGGACACACCTGACCAACTAACATAAATCTGACAAGATCAATATACTAGGTAGAGAATATTAAGGTGGTCTGTTCGTTCACAACTGCACAAAACTACCTTGTTAAATGATCAAAAGTATAAACTGTTCCTCACAGTACAGAATGAGAAACTGTCTGAATGAAATGTATATTGATTTAATGTAGTGCCTCTCTTTTCAGTCATACTGTATAGGCGTACTGTACAGGATGCCTCTGCACCAGTTGCTTTGAATCTACATCCTTCATGCTGCTATAATACTGTTCTGGAAGTGTCTGCAGATAATATCATCACTCTCCTGCTTTTCATCATCATCATCATCACTTACATATTCAGACAACACATCTCATTTAATGGTAATGGTAATGTTAGATTTCTAATATGGCAGTCGCATGTCATATAATACGTAAATTTCCATAACACACATTATACTTATAATTTTTTATATATGCAAAAAAGAAAAACTTGTATGGATTGTCAGCAAGCATTTGACTATATTTGTAAAACAATTCTGCTTTGAATGGAGGAAAAAAAAAACCCATGCTGCTGACAGTGTCAATGTCACTCCTGTTCTTTTTTTACCAACTCCTTCAGCTGCTGTGCGTTTTCATTAGCATCAGCTCAGCTTGATGGATGAGCATGCCTCAGGTCAGCCAGCCTGTAGAGCATGCTCCATGACAGTAGAGACATGTCACTTGTGTATGAGGCCAGCATCTCAAAGCATTTAACCTTTACAAAAGACCTCAAGAAATATTCCTTTTTTTTTTCTGTGTCAGTTCGCTACGTTTGTATTTCTGATTCTAATGTAATCCATACAATAGATTAATCTGCTCAAAGTGTATTTCCTGAGATTGGAAAGTATTCTGTGTGTTGTGGACATGCTTTGAAGTTATCCAATCAAAACATTTTACAATCTTACATGTGTATACAACTGTCGGTAGTCGTAAGTTAATCAAACAGTCAAATGTCTGTTCATATGTTTTGTTTGTTGTGTAAGACGTTGGGGTGATCAATGTAGTGATCAAAGTCTATCCCAGACTTTCTTGGCAGAGACTACAGTTGTATTTTATCCAGCTATAGCATCGTCATTGAGGGAACACCTGCTGCACTGTACATTACACTGTCTCAAGCACTCATTTCTGTCTTGATTTCCTCTAAACCCAGTTTTAAAATATGAGCTCCAGTCTGATCTCAATGTTGAGATTATTCCTCTTGTTTTCATTGGGCCTTTTTAATGTGCATCACATTTGAGCCAACCAAAGTTTTGTTGGTGCAGTCACACACACAGACACACACACAAAAAAAAAATCACACTGAATGTACATCAATATTTGAAAATACTTATTCTGCTGGAGTGGTTGTGTTAACTTGTGTTCTGGATTCACAGTCTGGTTCCTTATTGATTGTAGTTAGGTTATTATCAAGGAACCATATGGGACATACCTGTAATTATCTGTCCACTCATGTGTGGGAGGATGTAATAGGTTCATTATGGCCCTGTTAGAAATTGCATCTTGTACAGAGTAATGCTGTAGGTTATCTTACCGTCACACGTTCACTCTGATTTCAGTATCTACCTTCACCATCATGCTCTGACAGCCTTCACAAAATCTACTTTTTCTAATCCCTCCCTTTTTTGAAGGAATATCATTTGCATTTTTGTGCTTCCACATCTAATCTTTTTTTTTTTTTTTTTTTTTCGCACTATCAAATTATTTTGCATTGTACATAAACATGATTGCTGTGAACATTGTATTATAAAGTTGCACCCATTTACAAAATCTTAAATGGGCAGTAGTTCAGTCAGTGTCTCTGAGTGTTGGAGTTTAGCGTCAAATGTTTGTGTACACTAAACACATTGTCATATATTAAATAAACATGGAAATTATGCAACACAAAGTAATGGACTCTTCTTCTTTTTTATACTGCATTAGATTTTGTTCCTGGTGACCAGCACTTATTGATCATTAACAACTATTAATAAATACATAAATTGGGTGCTGACCCAATATTTTACGAATACAGTTGATATACAGCAACACTTTGAATTAAATAGGCGGAAAAGTCACGTATTTGTCGCAGTGTTAGAGAATATACATGAAGCCATTTCCCTGCATTAAGTTAGCATCAACATTTACTTCCTGATTGTTACCATGGCAGCAGAATCCAGGGTTGCCAGTCCACAATGCTAGTGTTTATAATACATTTCTTCCACTGTAAGTCCTCATCTGCTGTAATCTTATTTATATGATCTTTAGGGCTATTAAACGTGATAAATATCATGACTTTTGCGGACTTAAATAACAATATTTTAATCAAGTAAAGTATTAAAAGTTAACGCTTTAACCCTGAATGTGCTCGGGTCATGTAGAACATAATAAAATGCAAATTCCAAAATGACTATAATTAATTTAATAAACCACACACTGTATATAAAACACCTAACTCTCTTTGGTATGGATTGTTTTTTGGAGTTTATTTTATGACATCTTAAAATTGTTGCTTTCCCTTTAAGACATCCAGCAACCGGGTGGAGTAGTGACGCCTCATCCAGTCAGTCAACCACCTGGCTAGCTAGCTGATGATTGACACAGACTGTAGTAAATCTACTCAGAACATCTTCACATCACCTCAAAAGGTCAGACACACAGCCAAGAAATTCATCCAGCCATGTTACACGAAGGGAAGCAACGCTGCTTCATCTTCAGACCTAGAAAAGCAAATTAACATCAGTTAAATGATGCTAGAATGTATGAGTTAGCGGCACTAGCTAGCTTTAGCCAATGCGAACAGTAAGTCAGCGTTAGCTGGTTAAACTTCATCTCGGACTGGCAGACACTGCCAGGGCTGAGGAAGGTTGTTTTTAATCTCCCGGTTTTTAGTTTCACCGTGTTCAGAATTAACGGTCGGTACGAGAAGTGAATACGTGTCACGTTTCTCTTGACAGCATGGATGAAACATAAACTGACAGAGTTGATTTAGAGAGACGCTGTCTGGACAGATTTAATCATGTTAACGCTAAATGTTGGCTTTAAGTGTGTTTCCCGAACTCTGTATACAGATACAGTCTGAGTAACCTCTGAGATACCAGGCTGGCATTTTATTATATACTATTTTGTAATAACCAGAATCACTATCTGACACTACGGTTGCATCATCTAGATTTTTCCTTCAGTTACACCTGCTGTTTGGTCTGCACTCACTCACTGGTCTGGGTAATACTGGGTCTAATACATATCTCACTGTCCAGTCAGCTTCTTTCAAAAGTCTTTGTAATTACAACTCTCTAAGTGCTGTCCAAATTAATGAAATCCATGCTAATTAAAAAGATGTTCTGTTGTTGTTGTTTTTTACAGTGTTTTTTAAGACTTATTGGAAATATCCACATCACTAGAATAAATCTACAGACATCCTGCTAAATTTCCCATTTCTTCCTAGGAGTATGGCCAAGCAAACTGATGACATCATCTCGGTAAAGGGTCACACCTTCCCTGACCATACCTTTCATCATTATTCAGAAATGAATCTAGACAGGTGGGTTTGATTTTGGGTCATCCACATTGTATCAGTCGCTCATTCAATCTGAATCCAATTATGTCTTAAATTCAGTGAATGCAATATTAGATTTGATGATTTTACTAATTGTGATGTTTTGTTATTGTGTAAGTAACATATGCAGAAGGCTTAACTCATTACATGAAATGAGATGAGAACGCTTCTCTCCAATGTACTTAATGCACGATAGGATCTACATGGATTACAATGCTACTACTCCGCTGGAACCAGAAGTGATCCAGGCCATTACTGAAGCCCTGCAGGAAGCCTGGGGAAACCCGAGTAGCAACTATATAGCAGGTAAAGAACACTTGAACCCTGCATCAAAATCTCATTACATTGACATTTTAACTAGAGTAGGAAATGCAAAGCCAATGGGCAAAAGTATTTTGTTTTGTTTTTTTACACTATTTTAACCCAACCCATGATGTATCTGAGGGTGCACAATAGATTTGCATAAAACATTTTGTTGTCTGTAGGTGCCAAGGCCAAGGCAATCATTAATCAGTCCAGAGAGAATGTGGCAAGAATGGTTGGCGGGAAAGCAGAGGACATAATTTTTACCTCAGGTGGAACAGAGGTAATTTACATTACACATTGCTGTGATAATAGACACATTTTTGGAAATAATAATAGTGTCATTCAAACATCTGTGGATCATCACAGACTTATCTTCTTTCAGGCCAATAACCTGGTGCTCCACACTGCTGTAGAGCACTTCAGGAGAAACTGCAGGGCTGCAGAGGAAGGTGAAGGCCACCACAATGGATGCACCGGCCTTCCTCACATTATCACCTCTAATGTGGAGCATGACTCGGTCAAACTAGTAGCTGAGCACCTGCAGAGAGATGGCAAGGCAGGTAGGAGGAGAGGAAGTTTGGTTTCTTAAACAAATCAGGACTTCTTTTTTTTTTTAGCAACTAAATAAGTAATAACTGTGTTTTTGTCACAGATGTTACATATGTGCCTGTCTCTAAGACGACAGCCCGTGTAGAGGTGGAGGATATCATTGCTGCAGTGCGTCCCAACACTTGTCTCATCTCCATCATGCTGGCCAACAATGAGACAGGAGTCATCATGGTAAGAGGAGACAGGGGCTCAGAAACCTGACAGCCTCTTCTATGTTCACCTTTAAATCTATTTACAGTGCAAATCATTTAGAAATTATATTTATTATTATCATAAAGTCCATTTTTGACAGAGGAATCGGTGCTGATGAAGCCAACAGTTACATTCACTGATATTACCCCTTCGTGTATTGTATTTCAAATATAAATTTTTAAATGCACTTTCCAATTAAAAACAAAACACCTTCCTTTTGTCAGCCAATCCAAGAGATCTGCCAGAGAATAAAATCTCTCAACAAGCAGCACCGGCGGCTCAGGATCCTGCTCCACACCGATGCGGCCCAGGCTCTGGGGAAAAGCCGAGTAGATGTCTGTGAACTGGGCGTGGATTACCTGACCATAGTGGGACACAAGGTCAGAAATCTGTTGTATAAATGATCTTGATTCGGCATCAGAAAGAAAACAGGGAAACGTTTTATCGACGTTGTTTGTTACATTTCTAGTTCTACGCCCCTCGGATCGGTGCACTGTATGTGAACGGCCCTCAGACGGAAACGCCATTGTACCCGATGCTGTTTGGAGGAGGGCAGGAGAGAAACTTCAGACCAGGGTTGAGTACTGCATTGTCTCACTTTAGGAATAATGAATAAAGTACCAAATATGCATGAAATAATGGCCACGATCAGAGAGCTGCACATGTAAATATTGAGGTCTGATTTCTTTCCTCCTGAATATTACAGCACTGAAAACACACCGATGATCGCCGGTCTGGGAAAGGTAATTTTCTTGCTCTATATATGTGTTACTGGAATTTATACCAGGAATACCTTTTAAGTTTTAAGAACATTTCTGTACAATGGTGGAATATTTGAGTGAAAAGTGAATGTCTTCTTAAGGGATGTTGGCAGAAGGATACATAAGGGTGCTGAAAATATCATTGCAGTTATACCTGACACCATATTGGACGACGACTGACTTCCTGTCTCTGTATAGAATATTAGTACCGCCATTTTACTGGATTAATAGGTTGTAACTAGTGACTTTATTAATTGCTCGTAAATAATTTACTGCCACTTTATAGATCAGTTAAATGCAATTAATAAAAAATAATTTTGGGTTGCCAGGCTGTGAAAATTCCTTAGTGGTGTAGTGGTGTTTGTCTTTTCTACATGGAAACAATTCAGTTGGGAGTCTATTAATAAATCCTTATATACTTGATTTTAGTCCAGATCCAAGAGACTTTTCACAGCCTCTACTTTTTAAAACGGATTTTGTAAGAGCCTAACTATTTGCATACAGCAATGTGGTGATATGTTACAGCTGAATGCTAATATTTAATTTTTGTGTACCGTAGAATCTCCATAGGAAGTAATTTAGCCCTGTCGTGTTTTCCCGCCTTTATAGCTACTGATGTATTATGTGTCTGTTAGGCTGCAGAGCTGGTGACCTCTAATCTGTCAGATTATGAGAGTCAAATGCGAAGAACCAAACTTTACTTGGAAGAGCGACTGCGGGTAAGTTTGACTACAGAGAATTAGATGAAAAATGCCGTATTATCAGTGTGATTTTGTGGTTTACAGTGATGTGATTAAGGTTATTAAAAAATAATACGACTGTGGTTCACGGGTCCTTTTCTTGACTTTAGAAATGATAACCTGAGGATCAAAGGTCCAAAGGGAAAGTAGATACTCTCTTCAACACACTCATTTTTCCCACTATTCACAAACACAACTAGTTGAAAATAGATTTATTTCTTATGTTTACGTGACTTTTTGTCAATGGCATATAGAAGACAATACATTAGCACACTAACTCCTCTTGGCTGTAACACATTAAGAGACAGTTGAAGAAGAAGGCTGCACTTTACGCCGCTCCTGAGGCACAAGTTGGGCTTAAGCTCTTCTCAATGTCTTGAATGTAACTCAGAAACAGGCACATACAGCACGTACACATGTTCTGGTAACATACAAAGACACAGATTCTGGAGAGAAGTGAACGATGAAGTGCTCGTCTTGGTTGGAGGTGATTTGGAATTTGGAACAACCCTTCAGTGTAAATTCAAGTAGACAGTGAAAAAAACAACACAACTAATTGGATACTGTTATATTTAGTTAAAAACAAAAAGACAATCCTCACATTCTGGATTTCCACTGATGCCCCCCCCCCTCAAAGGAAGACTGCTATAAAGAGGAGTTAAGAAAACTACCTTTGGAGAAACTGACCTGTGTGTGCTGTGTGTTTGTGTTTGTTTCATTAAGGCTGTTAAGATGAAAGTGTGTGATCTTGATTGTTAAATATCAGAACCTCAATAAAAAAAGATAACTTCCACTAACATTCAGTAGGTAATGATGTCGTCCTTTTCAGGCCGTCTTTAAAGACAGGATCCACTTCAACAGCCACTACCCCGGCTCTGATATCCTCCCTAACACATGTAATGTGTCTATCTCGGGCCCAACATTACAAGGTGATGTCATGACTCTTCCGTCTCTGTCCTATGTCTGTTTTGGCCTGCAGGTCCGAACAGCGTCCTCTAACCCTACACCGATGTTTGTCAGAGGGAGTTCATGACCTGCATGCAGCTATTTGTAAACTACAAAGGCTTTGAATGATTAATCTCTCTCTCTCCTGCTTTAGGCTGGAGGGTATTGTCCAACTGTAGGAGGCTGCTGGCCAGTGTCGGCGCCGCCTGCCACTCAGACAGCGGAAACAGGTAAAAGAGCGCCTCGTCCACCTGTTAAGCCTTTTGTCCAGACACCATATTGACCGTAGTTACATAACTCCCCTTGCACTGCAATGCGTCTGTCCATCAGGCCTTCCCACATCCTTCTGAGCTGCGGCGTCCCCTCTGAGGTGGCAGCCAACGCTTTGAGGCTGAGCGTGGGCAGGGGGACGACCAAAGCAGATGTGGACGCAGTTGTGGAGGACCTGAGGGAAACCGTGCGGCTGTTGGAAGAAATGAACTGATGGACTTCATGTGCTCAAGCTGAAGTTACCCTGCAGGTCAAATAAGGATGTACAGAATTAAAAACACGCCATAAGTGTTTGTTGTTACAGGAAACAAACCAGTTAAAATGAATGAAATATATTTAATATAAATAATAAAAAGGGATGAAAGTGATGTGACCTGAGGGGTGATGTTATGGAGAGACGTGCACTCAGCGTCCATCACGTCATGTGAGTAGCTAATCAGCTAATTGAAGTCAGGCTGACATGTATGAGTGTTATTGAAATTAAATATTAATATACACTTTAAAAAAACAAAACAAAAAAAATTCACTGATCTAATCAGCCACGAAATATTCTGTGTATTTTATAATCTTGCAAATCCATCCGCCTTTTAGACCATCCTCACTGGGAGGAATTTTTAAAAACTACTTGTACAAAAATAAATAGATAAATAAAATAAAAAAATAACACTCATTGTAATCCACCATGCCTTGGCTCTGACTTCTCCCATTACTTAAGTTTCCGTGCTGCCTGAGCTCCCCCATCTCCAGTGAAGCGTGGGTGCGTGTGCCAGCATATGGTCACTGCCACACAAAGGAGAGCAGGGGGGCCACGAGCGCTGCGTCTCCACCCGTCTTTCATTACCTTTCTATCTCGCTGGCCCCTAAACACCAGCGAGGAGCCCACCCCCCCCCCACCCCCACCCCCCTCCTCCTCTCTACTCCATCCATCGGCCCATGCTGGCCAGCTGGCTGCTGCTATAGGGTGTCACTTTCCTGGCTCGGGTGGAGGCAATGAGTGCATGAGTTTTTTTTTTTTTTGTTATTGTATGGGAGATTGTCCGTGTGAAAACATGTGGGCAACCTGCTGGGGTCCAAACAGCTCCAGCCAGCTTGCTCTGTGTGCCATAACCTACTCATAGCGGCCAGGTGATGGTGCTTCATCGGGCCATCCAGGCGGCTCGAGCTGGGGATCTTGCAACCCTGAGGGAGCTAGCATCCTCTGGTCACCTCTCACCAGCCATCACTGATGCTCAAGGTGCCAGCCCCGTGCATCACGCAGCCAGGTGCGGACGCCTGGAGTGCCTGCAGTACCTGGTGCGCGAGCTGGGTCTACCAGCTGATCCGCGGGCTTTAAACAGGGCCACGCCAGCGCACGATGCAGCAGCTACTGGCCACATCCGGGAGCTGCAGTGGTTGGTGGACCGGGGAGGCTGCAACACTGAGGTAAGTTTATCCACCGAGAGCAATCCCTACACAGGCAGAGAGAAACCTACCCCGATAGCTCTAATTGGAGAGATGCCACATCTCCAGCTCTTCCTGCTAATTCCTACCGACTCAGTTGCGTGATGGCTTCAGATGGTCATCTTAACTGATCCCAGATAGCGGTTACGTCACTGCCGTACTGTACATTACCTTTACAGATGTAATACCAGCTGATGACATCATACGGTGTTGACTTACGGGGTATCCATAAGTATTATGTAGCAAGTGTAATTACGTCCAGATGCTTGAGAGAAGCTCCTGCTAAACTCAGCTATTAGTTAAGTAGAGTCAGGTCTACCCAGATCTCTTGTTTCTCAAAACTGGACAACAGCATTATGATTGAATTTACACAACCCCGACTAAAAATAAAATGTTCATCTGATTGTTTCTTATTCTTACAGATGTCTTAGTTGGTGGTCCTCATGAGTATTTCTGTTCAATACTGTATCTTGCACCTTATTCTTTGCATGTCTGAATAATGAAGTCCCTTTGACGTGTTCTTGATAATCAAGTGTAGTTGAGTTAGATTTGTCTTCCATCTTTCCTCAAATCCTCTGACTCCAGGACAGGGATGCAGCTGGCGCCACAGCCCTCCACCTGGCCGCTCGGTTCGGTTGTGTGGAGGTCATTAAGTGGCTGCTCTCTGTTGGAGGGGCGGCGGAGGTGGAGACGAACTGTGGAGCAGTTCCCGCTCACTACGCTGCGGCCAAGGGAGACCTCACCTGTTTGAAACTACTCATCCAGCAGGCGCCGGGGTGAGTTCGCCGGTGGTGATGTTTGTGTTCCTCAGAGGATGAATCCCACTGACTTTAAACCCCCTAGCGTTTCCTCTTGCACCGCCACGTGGGTTCAGGCGGTTCAGGGGTCAGAGAGAAATATCTTAAATACCTGTCACATGGATTGCTATGAAATTTACAACAAACATTGAAGGTCGCTAGAGGATAAAGTCTTAACAGGTCAAACATGGATTGCCACAAAACTTGATATATAGATCCACTGTGCACAGATGATGGTGATGCTCCAACTTTTCCTTTAACGCCACCACGAGCTTCATGTTTTAGTTCTTTA